GTCTGGGTTTTTACGTGTATGATGAAAATATGGATATAATAGGTCTAAATGGATGTAATGGAATTTACCTTGACTTACGAAAAAAAAATCCTGGTACCATTTCATGGTACAAATATGGGTATCGTTATGAATGTTACTAGGGGAATGCGGGCATTGTCATATGATAATTTAAATAATTATTGTCAGGGTTTTACCTGTATGATGTAAATATGGATATAATGGCTCTGTGGATGTTAATAAAGAAAAAAGTAATCAAATAAGGATAAAACAAATAGGGATAAAACAAGAAGCATCAGTAAAGTCAAGCACCAAGCATGGCCAAGTGACAAACATTTTGCATACAATTATTATTCTATAATGAAAAAAAAAATTTCCTTTTTAAGTTTTTAATTTTTTGTGCATAGGCAGGTATGACCATTTTTATAGCGGCTGTTCAAGGGCTAGAGAGAAGAGTCCGCTGTCAGCTTGTCCTTCTGACAAGTCTCACATGAGACGGTCAGATTCTTTGCTAAAGTCAAGATACTGAATCTCACGATCCTTTCTTCTGTCAACTTCTTGAAATATACTGTAAAACAAGATAGTAAATTTGCTAAACACATGCTGTACTATAAATCAAAGCAGCACACAAAATTAACAGGCTGTCTAGGTTTCAATTCATGGGGCCTCGGTTAGTTTAGGTTAGGTTCAGGCAAATTAGTACATAATTTTTGTGACATAACAATTTCAAAGGATGGGCTACATACACACTCGCCAACCAAAGGATACCTGATCAACCAGTCTGTGACTCATATGTCAGACTGCGCAGCAGCATCTAGTTGCTTGGTTGACCAGATCACAAACCAGAAGTCCTGATCAGAGACTGGGCGGTGAGGACATTGATCCCAAAAGCCAGCATTCAGCTCTAGCATAGTCCTTATTTAGTCAAACACAAAACGTGTGTCTGTGTGTGTGTATACTTTACAGTATATATAAAATGTAATGGGGGGGGAGGGGGATTACCTGGTGTTGCCCGGGTCTCTGTCCTTTCATCCATTCATCCTTCTATCCACTGTCTATGCCTGTCTCTTCTCTCCCCCTTTCTCTTTCTGTCCCTGTCTAGGATGAACAGAGTGCACCAATGAACAGATGGTCCTTGGGTAGGACCAGATGGAGTCTCACCTTGGGTACTAAGGGAATGTGCATTAAAGTTCAGTGCCCCAAACGTCCTTACAGACAGGAAACCTTGCTGACATGTGGTAAAAGGCAAACATAGTTTCAGCCTATAAGAATAGAAATAGGGAAGACCCACTGTACTGTAGATCTCTATTATTGACAAGTGTGGTACTAATTGCATTAGAAAAAATTACAGGTAAATTACAGGACAGAGTTCCTGGACAGTAACACTACAATACTGGACAATCAATTTGTATTTTGATTGGGAAGGTCATGCATTGCAAATCTACTTTGTTTCTACAATAGCCACAAATATTGCAAGAAAGGGCAGATTGGGCCAACTGCATATACCGTAGACAGAATCACCACACAAGAGATTTACGGAAGTTTAAAAAAATTGGCAGTGTGACAAGCAAACTTCTAAATTGGATGAGAATTTTTTTGACAGATAAAGGTGAGCAGTGATCCAAGGAATTGTATATACCTGTCGTATACTTATTGATGATTCAGTGGATCAACATGCCCGCGACCTGGTCTCTGACCAAGCCTCTTGTTTGGTGGTTTGGTCAACCAGGCTGTTCGATGCAACTGCTCACAGCCTGATATGAGTCACAGCCTAGTTGATCAGATATCCTTTGAAGGCGTTTGTCAATTTCTCATTTGAAGACCGCAAGAGGTTAGCCAGTTAAGCTCCCTATGTGTAGAGGGAGAGTTGAAAAGTCTTGGTCCTTTGACATTGATCAATTTATCTTGCAGCATACTTATTGCACCTCTGTTTTTTAATTGGGCTATTTTGCACATCCTGCCATACCTTGGTCTCGTATGGCATTATTTCTGTGTGCAGATTTGGAACCAGTCCTAGTATTTTCTAAATGTCGATTTGTATTTCCCACCTGCACTGAATATAGATTTACAACTTTTAAGTGGTCCCAATAATTTAATGTTTTATTAAGTGGATTCTATCAGTAAAAGATCTTTGCACACTCTCCAGGTTAGCAATTTCTCCAGCATTGAATGGGGCTGTTAGTGTGCAATAATATTCCCCTCTAGAGAGTACTATTGTTTTAAAAAGTCTCATCACAGGTGCAGCATCTCTTGTTTGAAAAGTTCTTGTTATTCAACTTGTCATTTTTCTTGCAGTTGTGATGACTACTTCGTCGTGTTCTTTAACATTAAGGTTTTCCCAACGTGATTACTCCTAAATCTTTTACATTGCTTTTTCCTTCAATATTGTGGTTTGACTGCATTTTGTCATTTCTGTTTTGATGTTTTCATTTATTCCATAGCATAGTAATTGGAACTTAATCTCATTATACATCATAGACCATTGAAAGACTTGACCTCTGTAGGCCATTGAAATGACTTGACTAACATCAGATTGGAGGTTTACTGTGTCCTCTATATTGTCTACTCTCTCAAATCCAAGTGTCATTTGAAAAGGATAATAGTACTATAGTTTGTATCCTTGTCTGTGTCTGATATGAGGAGGAAAAAAAGTACAGGAGCAAGCACAGAAACTTGGGGACTGAGCTTTTTATGGTGGATGATCCTGATTTTACTTTAACTAATCACTGGGTTCTGTTAGATCAAAAGCATTAACAAAATCTGTGTATATTACATCAGCATTTTGTATGTTTTCCATGGCATCTAAAGCAAAGTCATAGTGGTCTAGCAATTGAGAGGCAGGAGTGCCCTGTCCTAAACCCCATGTTGCATGACAATCATCTGTCTCTCTTATAGTAGCTTAGCATCTTCAGAAAACATGTTCACATAATTTTGTATTCCTTCTGGTAGATCATTTATGTAGACAATGAACAACTGGTTCAAGAACTGAACCTTGTTGTTCTCCGCTAATAACACTCTCCAGTCAGATACATTGTTTCTGATTACTGCTCTCATCTTTCTTCTTTCTGTACGAAAATTGCACACCTGTGTCAGCAGACTCTGTCACTCCTCCAGCATGTTCCAGTTTTCAAAACAACCTCCTGTATAGGACTGTCAAGCACTTTTTTTGAGTCAAATATATATGCAGTCAATCCAACCATCTGTTTCCTGTAGAATCTCTATAGCTCTCTCATAAGAACTAAGTAGATTTGTTACACAGGATCTTCCTGTTCAAAAATTATACTGTTTGTCATGTCATTACTCTCCATGTGTTCTACCCATTTAGTTTTAACTATTTTTTTCAAGTGTTTTGACTACCACGCTTGTTAATGATATGGGTCTAAAATTTAGATGGTTTTCTGTGTTACCATTTTTGTAGATTGGAACCATGTTTGCCATTTTTCAAATATCTGCTAAGATTCCTGTGGACAAAGATGTCTGGAATAATAGTTGACGTGGAATGGTTAGCCCTTTTGCACATTTTTCAGCCCCTAAGGTGAAACTCCATCTGATCCAATAGCTTTATTTCTTCCTAGCCTCTTGAGTAAATTTTTACTATGACTAGACACACCTCAATGTACTCTTATGGTGTTTTCTGAAATTGACGTAGTGTCTGGCTCTGAAAACCTCATTTTGCACACACGCTTTGGAACTGTTCACTTAGTGTTTTAAAAAGTTAAAAACCTGTCAACAAGTTAACATGATGACACTGGAGGTCTACACTCAGGATAGATAAATATTATTGCCTACAGTCAGCTAGCAAGCAACACATGGCCTAAGGAAGAGCTAAATGGCAAAAGAGAGGGCCTTGTAATGATAATGAGAGAGATTATAGTAAGAGCAGATAATGATAACTCCCAAGTGTTGATACTTGATGACTTAAAATTGAAGTCAATAGACTGGGAAGCCTATGAGCCCAACCACTTCCCAGAGAATTCTGTGCATCAACATGTTAGACAGGTTATGAGAATTTGAGAAAAGGATGCTCCAATGCTGGATTTAGTATTTAACAGAAAGGAAGAGAGATTTGACATTCAGTATCTTCTGCCATTGGGCAAGAGCAACCGTGTCTTTTAGGGAGTTGAAAATGCATGCATTATATTCAAGAGTGGTGAAAGGGAAATAGTGGAAAAACTTGATTTCAAAAAGATATTCTGGGAAACTAAATAAGTTCTTTACTAATTTGATTGGAAATATTTATTGTTAGGCAACCAGGAGGCCTGGTCGACGACCGGGCCGCGGGGACACTAAGCCCCGGAAGCACCTCAAGGTAGCCTCAAGGTAGGCAGAGTAATAAATGAGATGTATGAAAATTTATCGAGATATATGATGAAGGCACGAAAGAATTTATTTTAAAACAGATGTAGAACTAGAAAAGAGGATTAGTTTCTTAGAAATGCAAGAGGGGCCAGAGAACAAAAGACAAAAAGATGGAATCACTATAGAAAGAGGCCTAACTTGCCAGCAAACAGACTAGCAAGAAATGGCTACACAGCAATGAGAAGAGAGGCAGAAAGAAGCCTCGAAACAGAACCAGGCCTATTCTATGTATTAACAGCAAATTGCATGTAAAGGATAAAATTTAGAGATTGAGAATGTGGATCAGATTCACAGTGAATGAAAAGGATATTGTGTAAAACACTAAATGAGCAGTTCTAAAGTACATGTGGAAAAGGAGATTTTCAGGAAACCAAACGCAATATGGATTTCAGGCAACAACAACAAAGTGTCTAGAGATGAAGTAGAAAAAATGCCTTGTATATTTAATTGCACTAGACATGTATTTGAGTTCATTAGACTACAGGAGCTGTAATATATGTATGTAGGTGTGGCTTTGTTCAAAGTATGTACACTGATAAACCTGGTGGCTAGGTTAGCTTTTGTCTTCAGTTTGCATCATAATTTACATCTAAACTATACTGTATATAAAAAGTTATTAATTTATTTCACATTATTTAATACAGGCAACCATGTTGTGCAGAAGTGTATTGAGTGTGTGGACCCAATGGCCTTACAGTTCATCATTAATGCCTTCCAAGTAAGTAGTAATGACAGTTGTTACACAATTTACAATGTTAACAATTTTTATTATCAAATTACCAGCCTCCTGATAATGGTTTCATAATTGAATACAATGAAATCTAATTATTGATGGAAGTGGCTACATACATTGTATGTACATTAATTACTGTACATGTTAGTAAACATTTCACTTGTAATGACTTGTGTGACCTGTGTAATGTTTGAGGTGGACCAGTAAGCATGTGCCAAAGGAATATTGTAATATATTTAATGAAGGATGTAAGGCATGATGACAGGATTTTTTATGAAGTTTTGCTTTTGGGAATATCTGTTATGTATAAATGTTAATTTGCGAGAAGATGTCAAGTTTGTGATGGAATTGGCAAAAAATAAATAGTTGTACAAGAACAGACAAATAGGGCTCTTGAGTGTAATATTGAGCAATATAACTTCGATCATAAAGAACATGGAAATGGATACTGTAATTTGAATTTTAAGAATTCTTCCAGTGAAGTCTGTTACAAAGGGCTATGTTGGAAATTGAAAAATGTAGAAAGTATAGAGAACACTATTTAAATGAATGAAAGGCTTCTTGTCTGCAAAAAGAAGCAGAACAGTGATACGTGAAAGTTGTCAGCATGAGGAAGAAATAACTACTGTACTTGAGGTGCCACAAGGATCGGTTTTGACCCCAAACAAAATACAGGGAACAAAACAATCAAATCTGCCCATAGTATGAAAGCAGTGGCTTGGGCCTGACAGCCGAGTGGACAGTGCTCGGGATTCGTAGTCCTGAGGTTCTGGGTTCGATCCCCAGTGGAGACGGAAACCAGGGAACTGGGAGTTACAGCTGCTACGGGCTGCTTCCAGGAGGGTGTGTAACAAAAAGGAGGCCTAGTCAAGAACCGGGCCACGGGGACACTTAAGCCCCGAAATCATCTCAAGATAACCCCAAGAAGATGACTCTTGTTGGTGTATGGAAGATGGTGAGGAAGGGGTAAGGAAAGAGGAGAGGTGTTAGGATTTGGAAAGGGAGTCCTTTTTCATTATTCATAATATCAAGCAGTGATGACATTTCTGGGGTACTCTCCTACATTCTGCAGGCATACCACTAGGACCTGGTTGTGGCTCACTGCTTGCTTGTCTTACAAAGAAGCTGTCTAAAGAAATTTGTTTTTCCCTACGTTTTAACACTTGTCTTTAGTGAGACATCACATTTTCACTATGAATGATCTCATTTTTCCTGTATCGTCATCCTCACATTTGTTTTCTTAGGTTGAACCTTACCTCTGACTTTCTTGGGACCCATGGTTTGATATATAATAATTACTTTTATGTTAAAAAACAAAAAAAACAAAAAAAAGAAATAGCAGAAAAACTATGAAATTCTTTACAAACAATTCAAATGTGATCGTCATTAGGTGGGAGGCTGGGAGGCAATGATCACCTCCCCATGCAGGGGGACTTCCTAATGGCGGCAACAATGTTAGCAACCAGCATTCTAGCTAGGTAGCGAGCAAAATAAATAAACATACATTTTTAATATTAATATAATTAATATTAAAAAATACACATGTTGTATATACATATTTATTTACTTTAACAGGGGCAAGTATTCACACTGTCAACACATCCGTATGGTTGTCGTGTAATACAACGCATCTTGGAGCATTGTACTGGGGACCAGACGTCTCCAGTGCTAGAAGAATTACATCAGCACACGGAACAGCTGTTACAAGATCAATATGGTAATTACGTCATCCAGCATGTGCTTGGTAAGTTGCTTTACCTAATGTGATGAAATTGATGTATGTTAATGAAATAGCTTAGATTACTTTTTTTACATAAAGTATTTGTAAGACTAACCATGTTTAATACCGGTTTGATGAACATGAATTTGGCAGGTGTAAGGTCATTTCATTGCACTCGGCATTCTGTTCTTTCTTTCTCCATTCTGTCATCATATGGAGCATTTCCACAAACAGCCACCACTATTACTTTGTAAAAGTTGAGTTTCACATGCAGATACCTTGAATTGAAATAAATTAAATTAATTTAATCCATATCCACTCTTTTTATTATTATTATTATTATTATTATTAACAGGTATAATACTACTTCACATTGATTCTTATATTTACTCATCCACTCTCCATAATTTTTGTTAATAAACCTGCCACATTAAAATATCTTTAGTACTGTGCACTGTATATATATATCTTGCATATTTAAATAACAAATTAATCAAATTGTAATTTGCATTTCCCTTGCAGAACATGGCAAGCCAGAGGACAAGAGTAAAATTGTGGGCGTGGTTCGAGGAGGAGTCTTAAAGCTCTCTCAGCACAAATTTGCCTCAAATGTTGTTGAAAAATGTGTAACGCATGCCACCCGTGCTGAGAGGGCCATGCTCATTGAGGAGGTAAACGTGGGTACCATTTGGGGGACGGTTGAACCTCACCTATTATTGTTGAATGCATTATTAGATATACAGACTAATGTTTCCTATGTGCTGAAATATTAACATACGTGTTAGATTGCTCTCGAATATTATTTGACAAACTTTTTTCCATGTAAACCATTTCTAATTCTGCATCTGTTCATTTACATTTGTCTGTCCATGCATGCTGGCTTTGTAATGAGTTTCTCGTGGAGCTAAAACAGCAGATATGTTATGAGGATAAAATCTTAAGAGTAAAGGTCTCTGGGTCAACATTTTTATTTCTATGGAATAGCTTCAGCAAGTGTAGCAGCAGGTTTTGTCATTACAAAACTTAATAAGGTTAAATGTCAATATAGGAAAGGATAAAGTACTTTCAGTTTAATTAAGAATTTGTAACACTAAGAGTTATGTTCAAAATTAGTTACCGAGTCTATGGTTGTTTTTGTTAAATATTTAGTAAATGTCCATAAGCTATATACAGTACAGTATTATGATTTTTTTTGAGGTTCGTAACTGCTTGTTGGCAGTTTGCAAAATGGTTTTTACTCTTATGGTAATGAAGTGTTTAATTATATGAAATTGCCTCCTGAGGTTCACTGTGGTAAGGGATAAGAATGGCACTTTGTGTACCAAACAGATTTGGATTCAGATTGTGTATGACAGGTGTAAATAACAAAACTTTTAACTAAATTCTATCTTTACTTTGTGTATTGACAGGTGTGTGGTTACAGTGACAATACTCACAGCTCACTCCTTGTGTTAATGAAAGACCAGTATGCAAATTATGTTGTACAGAAAATGATAGACGTTGCTGAACCTGCTCAGCGGAAGATGCTTATGCACAAGATTCGCCCACACATTTCCACTCTCCGCAAATATACTTACGGTAAATTATGGTTCTTTACTACCCAGTATGAAAATAAGAACTGATTTATCTTGCTTGGTTATTAGGATGTATATAAACTCGTGGTAGGTAATCTGGAAGAAGGGATAATATTGTTATCTTTTCTCTTAAGGACAAAAGAGAGAGAGAGAGAACTGCGGAAAGGCGTATTGGCCCATATGAAGTAGCTCATATATATCTAGCCAAACTTGTTAATGTGTGTGTGTGTGTGTAATCTACAATTGGAGTAATCCTGCATTCACATTATTATTTTACCTGGTCATTTGTTCCATAAATCAACAACCTTCTCTCTCGCCACTTTCTTTTCCCTCATTCTCTTGTAAAGAATTCCTGGGATAGCTACACTATTGATTTGTACTTTTTATGTGAGGCTTTTGTTTGATATCTTGAAAATAAGTAGTTTAATTGACTTCATATATACATGTTTACAAACCTGAGGTTCCTATTGGTATTGGGCTTAAATGTGTAGAGCATTGATGGTGTAGACTGCATGCTCTTGTGTAATGGTTGAGCTATGTAGAGGTTCATAAAGGTGCCAGTGACGTGCCATCCTCGTCACGTCCCTTGTGGATTTGCCATTGATAGGATCTCAGATAGATATATTATATATATATATAACTAAATTTGTCATTTACTGAAAGATGTTTGAGTGCCTTTGAATTTTTCTAAGAAATTGGTGTTTAAGGAAAACAAATTCCTGTATTGCACTAATTGGGATATGTACAAGGAAGGGGGGAAAAAACAGGAGTGAGTGTAGGGAACATACACAGGAAATGTAAGAGTGAATCAGGTACAAGGTCAGGCCAGGTAGAATAGTCCTCAGTGGAACAAGATAGTGGGCTCAACAAGCTTGTAGAGGAAAATGACCAAAGGAATGCATGAGTGAATAGCTCAATATTCACAGCTCGCACCCTCCAGACTGGGATTAACCCAGAACCCATGGAGAACAAAAAGTTATGGAAAAAGTACAGGAAAGTGAGAACAGACACAAAGTTAGGGAGTTAGTCAAGAAAACCAGAAATGAGCATACCAAAGTCAGGAAGGCAGCAGAGTTGCAGGTTTAAAATGACATGCAACAAAAGCAAGGAATTAATTTGGACTGCTATATAGTCACTTGTGAAGAAAAACATGTATCGTATTGAATATAGACAGGGAGGCATACTTATGTAATGTGACAAGGAAGTGTGTAAGGTTCTCAACAGGAGGCCTATACAATAGAACCAGATTGAGTCCAAATAGAGATGACAAAAGATGACCAGAATCAATAATTTAGACGTCACTGCAGAGGAGATAAGACACCTGAGGTGTTTGATGAAAAAAGCAGTACTACTGAAGGGGGGGCTGCAGAGATTGTTATTCATTACCTATAGCTTTCAACATATTAGGATATTGCAGAGTTCCAGGAAAAAAGGCAAACGTAGCTCTGCTCAGTAATGGGGACAGACAGGAAGCACTAAACTATAAACTACTGGTACAGTATGTGTTGCATAACAGATTCATTTTGTGGTATTTTATTCCATCTGAAAGCACCTTTGTCCCAACCCAACTAGGAGGATGTCTATGCTTTCAGTTATGTCTTGTAGATAGCAAATGGAATTTAGTGTGTAGACTAGCAATTGTAGTTACCAAAGTAACTTCACTGAGTTTTGAATATATTGAATATATTTAATATCGTGTATATAGGTGAATATCACAATGATTTTATGATTAATAACTTCTAAAACTACCATATTTCTTAATTTCCAGGTAAACACATTTTAGCCAAACTGGAGAAATACTTCATGAAGAATGCCCCCGACACTATGGGTCCCAGCATGACCAGTCCCCTTTAAGTTGCCCTCACCACAGCTCCACCACCACTTCCCACATGCCACTGCTCCATAAAGCAAAAATGCTAACATCTTAATTTTTTATTATTTTGATATTTTAAATTTTTAATTATTTGAGCACGCAATTAATCTTCAAGAAAATGTCAGTGGTGTGAAGCACATACTTTAGCCATTAGTAATGTTACGAATTATAACGTGTCTGATGTTATATATTTTCTCGTCCTATTAGCCTTATCAATTAAAGGATTTAAGAAATTTAGTATTGCATTAAGGAGCAAAATCAGTTGAATCTGATTACATATAAAGATGGAGATTGTATGTTTATTTTCTCTCCCAAAAATTAAACCTTGAATTAAATTATTGGGTAATAATTTAAACTTGAGTTCCTAGTTATTTTTACACTGTAAAAATCTAGGATGACCAAATCTTTTGATTTTAAATCTTAAATTTAATAGATGGACTGAGCAACATTACTTGATTTAATTTACATCAAGTTCAGCTGTTGATACTGACATGCATATCTTTATTATATTGCAAATTTAAAAGTAACTGTTTATACCTTGACCTGTCAGGTATTAAGAATGATGGAATTTTTCTTTGACAATAAAGACATACATATGATTTCTTGCTGCAAGAATTCAAAGGCCATTGGAAAAAAAATTAATGTTAATTGAAACTTATTTTGGTGTGCCCTTAACGCATAGAAACTATTCAGCTAGGCTCTTGTAGTGTGATAGAGCATGTTATTCATTATTGTGGGCTTGTGGCTATTTGCATGATTTTGCTGTAGTGAGCTTTTCCCATATATATCAAATTTGAATCTTAGACATATACATGTTTGCCACTTTTTACCCAATTGGTAAATGTTGTTACCTAATGTTGTATTGCTCTTTCTTTCATATTAGTAGTGGTGTGTAATGTTAGTATTTAGAAGCTGTGTTTGCCTCTCAAGAGCAAACATGGTACTTCTCAAGTGATTAAAGCAGAGCATGGAAGGCACCCCATATCCCAACACATGCAAAGGTAAAAAACCAATCGTGAAGGAATATTTGTTCCAGTATCTGGCACTTATGCACATTAGGTTGGTAAGCACAGGTGTAATAGGATTGAATCTGTAGGAAGCCAGTTCTTACGACAATGGTCAGTTGACAACTTGTTGCATTTCTTTCTTAAAAAGTCCACAATGGAAGTGGTTGGTGTTTTAAAGTGGATGATGTGGGAGGTGCCTGCCCTGGCCCGTGTCCCAGTAAAGGTGCGGGACTCTGCCCTCGTCCAGCAAATAGGTCATCTCGACCTAGTGCATTGTAAAATTTGATGTACATTGTATCAACTGGTATATATAAAGCAATTTCAATATGTAATATTGGGCATTACTGTAAATCTGTACAGTCGAATATTCTATATTTTCTTACTTGTTTGTGTGTTTGTAATGTCAGTGTGATAATACCACCACTAAATCCAGCACAATTGTGGCAAGTCATGCCTGTGTGTTAGTAGACTGGTGTCTGAATCATCATACATTGTAAAAATTTCAGTTGAACACTCACCAACCTATTGTCTCACCAGCTGCAAACCATAAGGACACTGGCACTTACACTGCATTTAGAAAATCCGTCACGACTGCTGCAATTCCTCACAGGTTTGTAAGCATGTCTTTTGCAGTGCACTCCCTGGGACTGGCATTCATGAGGATGAGGAGGTAGAATGGCCTTTTTACCATCAATAGAATGTATATTTCAGTGATTTCTCCTCCCCTTACTCTTGTTGCTGGCCACCAAGTATGAAAAACTCAGGCTTCTGGGTTATAACAATTATTCTGCTGAAATTCTCTTGGACCTGTATGCAGACTGTGCCTAGAATGCTTGACTGGTCCAAGAGTATGAGGAGCAGTGTTAATATCTGTTAAACTTGTATCTTTGTATCCCAGTACTGGAGCTCTTGCAGGCTGGAACAGGCCCATGTGTTTATATTGTAGAGCTCCTGCCCTTGCCAAAAGACCTAACATTGTCAAATTGTAAATTCTGTGAATATTATTGAATTTTTTGTGCAGCCAATATTATGGCTTGTAATGTAACATTTTGTAATAAATTAGTGTACAGAAAATGCTAATATGTGTACATTTGGAACATGTACCTTTTGTAAACGCCATATTGTACAGAGCACATGGTGATATACTTATGAGCTGTGTTACTGCTGTATAGTAAATTGTACATATTGATTATGAAGCAAGATCTTAGCTTGGCCTGTACCTGCCTGTTGAGCACTAGTTGTATATTACTTATGTAGATGTAATTTTCTTGTAAACTGTATTTTGTATATGTCCTAAGCTAACAGTAGTTGGTGTAATATTTACTGTCTTGATCTCACAGTTCCTGCGGGGAAGGTGTGAAGTGTAACAATTTTGGTCCTTTTTGCCTTGCTTGTAGTCTGCCATCTTGGTTTGGGTCTTTACTCATATTTCATATTTACGGTTTTAATCTGCCTTAGATTTAAGTAAATGAAAAGAAATCAAACATTTTCACACTTCTCCATGGAAATGCTCTCTCCACCAAACTGGCTTCTTGGTTCTGTAATTAACTGGATAAGGTACGTCATTGAAAAGTGACTTGAATATAAAGTTGATTAGGGAATCCAAGTTGTCAGAACTGTACATCTATGTACATTTTCATATTTGTAACCTTTGTTTGCCTTAGATGTAGACGGACATGGTCCTTTGACCCAATTTTTGGCACTAGCTTCTCTGAAGTTTTATATTGTGTTCATACATTAATTCAAACTATGTAATCCTGTTCAGACTTCACATTAAGCTGTTAATGTTGAAGTATTTGCACCATGTCTGTTGATATTAGCAGTTATTAAACAGTTTTGTGTAATTTTTGTATTGTTTGTATTAGTGTAGTTAGCCTAGAGGTGTGCTAATTGGCTGCGGGGCTTGCTTCCCCCTGACATGGCAATTTTTTTTATGCAACTGTATTATATTGGTAGTGGCAACTACCCTTGCGTTTCATTTTTACTTCATTTCTTTCTCCTCACCAAAACTACTAAAAAAAGCATTCTGCTCTTCATGGTAGTAGATACCATAATTTTCATTCATTACTGCCAAATCATGGAAACAGTCCCTCAAGCCTTATGCTAAACCTTTGTCATCCAGGCCACACTAGTGTGTACGTAGGACATTTTAAACTGTATTATATGTAAAAATGTATCTTATACAATATGTATAAAATGGAGTGATGCATTCCATTTGAACATCCAAGGTTTTCTACCAATGTGGAAAGGTGAACAGTCTGATGGCCAACCGCTCCAGTTAGCTATCCTCTGCCAGCATTGTTTCTAGAGTTGTTACTGTTACTGGCCAAGGTGGAGGTATGGCTTGGCCTCATTAACCCTTCTCTGTACTTCCCTCTTGCTGTTATTCCTGGCCATCCCACAACTTATGGCTCTCAGTGCTAGCCTTTGGCCTGAATCACGCAAATCCTGCAAGTAGTAGACAAAAACTAGTTTTCTTGCTCCATCACTCAACAATCGACAACAACAAATCTCCAGCTTTTACATTGCTAAAATATTCTTTCCTTGATAATAGTAAATCAGTCTCGATTCTAACCTAATATGGATACCACAAGAACAAGAGACAGTGCCTTGCCACTACTGCTTGTCAGTGAGGAGTGTGGTGAATGGCAGTGTACAGAGGGTGTCCTCCTATGAGGAGGGTGGGGCTGGGCCAACCATAAACAGCGTGGGCTGGTTGCAGCTCCTTATAGGTGCTGCTGAACAATATTGTGCAATTGTCAACATAAGACAGGATCATTTATGTTTAATATTTACGTACTATACTTTCTAAGCTATTTACATATACTGGACATGAATTCTATTTTCACTTCTGGCTTACTTTGTCCCCCTTAAGTACTTTGCCTCCTTCATGTTCTCATTTCAAAACAAATTTCCCTGGACTTGTGTGACCAGCCCAGCGTCTTAAACTTTTCACCAATTAATCAGTTCTGTGATGTACATGCTGTATCATATGTAATGGTCTACTCCATTAATAAACTTTCTGTAATGTGAAATAGCCCATCATTTTCCATTTTTACAGTTAATCTGAAATTAGCAAGAGAATATACAGTAACTTGTATTTATTCACAATTTTTATTTTTATTATATTTTGTTTATTAATTGGATACTAACAGATTTTTAATACCCCTCATTCCAGCCTGTCTTGATTTACTACAACATACGAAATAAGGGGTACTAAAGCACATGAACTTAAGCTACCCACCTAACCTAGCAAACCTATGAATAGAAAACAACGATGCTTGTAATGTAATGTAATTATCAAAAGAAGGCACCAAACCGGGAAGGCTATGTAGCACCATCAAAGTGCGAAATAATGAGAGGGCGCTAAATATCACCAAGAATGCCAATACGAGAACAAAAACGCATAAGGGGAACAATATCAAAAGTATCCGATTCGCCTAGAATTCTATCGAGGGACAAGTGACCGCGAGGGACGGTCGGACAACGGTGCTTGTGAATTAGCTACTTTACATAGTACCCGTTATTTTGTACATTGGGCATCATGGTGTACAATACAAGGTACATTAATCAAGAGTACGGGTTGTACATTCAGTATGAGAAGAGCCCACCATAGCAAATGGCAAAAAGAAATTTAATAAGTATAAAGTATTATAAGGCATCCATTGGTGATGTAGTTTTGTAGATAACTAACGGTACTGCATTATTGTGTTTCTTAGCAAACAAGATATGGTGGGATTGACTTTTCAAAGTAGCAGTTGAGCAACTGGAGTGGGCCACATTCTTCATTTCCAGTACCTTGCCTTGAGGTGCTTCCGGGGCTTAGTGTCCCCGCGGCCCGGTCGTCGACCAGGCCTCCTGGTTGCTGGACTGATCAACCAGGCTGTTGGACGCGGCTGCTCGCAGCCTGACGTATGAGTCACAGCCTGGTTGATCAGGTATCCTTTGGAGGTGCTTATCCAGTTCTCTCTTGAACACTGTGAGGGGTCGGCCAGTTATGCCCCTTATGTGTAGTGGAAGCGTATTGAACAGTCTCGGGCCTCTGATGTTGATAGAGTTCTCTCTCAGAGTACCTGTTGCACCTCTACTTTTCAAAGTGGGTATTCTGCACATCCTGCCATGCCTCCTGGTCTCATGTGATGTTATTTCTGTGTGCAGGTTTGGGACCAGCCCCTCAATTATTTTTCACGTGTAAATTATTATGTATCTCTCCCGCCTGCGCTCAAGGGAGTACAGATTTAGGCTCTTTAGTCAGTCCCAGTAATTTAGATGTTTTACTGAGTGGATTCTAGCAGTAAAGGATCTCTGCACGCTCTCCAGGTCAGCAATTTCTCCAGCTTTGAAAGGGGCTGTCATTGTGCAGCAGTAATAGTTGTATACTAACAACCCCATTCAAAGCTGGAGAAATTGCTAACCTGGAGAGCATGCAAAGGTCTCTTACTGCTAGAATTCACTCAAAAAAGTCTAAATTATTGGGACCGTTAAATTTTTTAAATGTATTCCCTAGAGCGCATGTGGGAGAGTACACAATAATTTACACTTGGAAAATACTAGGACTGGATCTAAATCAGCACAAAGAAATAACACCACTGTTCCACCCCACTGGTGTCTTCACTCCACCACTGTTCCACCCCACTGGTGTCTTCACTCCACCACTGTTCCACCCCACTGGTGTCTTCACTCCACCACTGTTCCACCCCACTGGTGTCTTCACTCCACCACTGTTCCACCCCACTGGTGTCTTCACTCCACCACTGTTCCACCCCACTGGTGTCTTCACTCCACCACTGTTCCACCCCACTGGTGTCTTCACTCCACCACTGTTCCACCCCACTGGTGTCTTCACTCCACCACTGTTCCACCCCACTGGTGTCTTCACTCCACCACTGTTCCACCCCACTGGTGTCTTCACTCCACCACTGTTCCACCCCACTGGTGTCTTCACTCCACCACTGTTCCACCCCACTGGTGTCTTCACTCCACCACTGTTCCACCCCACTGGTGTCTTCACTCCACCACTGTTCCACCCCACTGGTGTCTTCACTCCACCACTGTTCCACCCCACTGGTGTCTTCACTCCACCACTGTTCCACCCCACTGGTGTCTTCACTCCACCACTGTTCCACCCCACTGGTGTCTTCACTCCACCACTGTTCCACCCCACTGGTGTCTTCACTCCACCACTGTTCCACCCCACTGGTGTCTTCACTCCACCACTGTTCCACCCCACTGGTGTCTTCACTCCACCACTGTTCCACCCCACTGGTGTCTTCACTCCACCACTGTTCCACCCCACTGGTGTCTTCACTCCACCACTGTTCCACCCCACTGGTGTCTTCACTCCACCACTGTTCCACCCCACTGGTGTCTTCACTCCACCACTGTTCCACCCCACTGGTGTCTTCACTCCACCACTGTTCCACCCCACTGGTGTCTTCACTCCACCACTGTTCCACCCCACTGGTGTCTTCACTCCACCACTGTTCCACCCCACTGGTGTCTTCACTCCACCACTGTTCCACCCCACTGGTGTCTTCACTCCACCACTGTTCCACCCCACTGGTGTCTTCACTCCACCACTGTTCCACCCCACTGGTGTCTTCACTCCACCACTGTTCCACCCCACTGGTGTCTTCACTCCACCACTGTTCCACCCCACTGGTGTCTTCACTCCACCACTGTTCCACCCCACTGGTGTCTTCACTCCACCACTGTTCCACCCCACTGGTGTCTTCACTCCTCCACGTTTCCCCCCAACCCCTCACTCCTCCACCCCACCCCTCACTCCACCACTGTTTTCCCCAACCCCCTCACTCCACCACTAAGACCAGGAGGCTATGCCTGATTGCAGGCTATGTAAGCCTGCAATCAATCGCACCGGAAGCCATCAGTACAGCACAAGCCCAGGCTCTCCCGACTGTCTCAACCTCTGTCCCCCCCCCCAAATCCCCTCACTCCTCCACTGTTCCCCGAACCCCTCTATGTCTCCCCCCACCCCTTCCTCCACCACTGTTCACCAGGGAGGTAGGGAATCGTTGTAGCTATCATGGTTGGGAAGGTTAATGGTGGGCCTAGAGAAGACTGGTCAAGCCCAACAGGCTTCTTGACCCCGACAATAGGAACTATATTGCCGGAGCCGCTCTCCTGGCCGTGGAACACGAAGTATAGTGAAGCTGAGGACCTGTGAAATTTATGCCATCTTAAGGCGTCATTGATAAAATGATTGAGAGGGTTTTGTTACCGGACTTAACCAGCACCATTCCTTCCCTCTGTCCTGTCCCAGCTCCTTGTCCTCATATCCTTTCAAAGTGCTAGTTATCTGGCCTAGTGCTTTTTCCTCATGATTACCTTAACCAACACACACTCCCAATCAAAGCCCAGAAAGTCATAAGCAAATTATTTGGAAAAAAGTAGACAAGTTTCACATCCAAACCCATTACACAAGGCCAACCTGCAGTTATTTTCAAAATAGGTTCTGGTCTCTAGCTAGGAAATGCTACCGGTAGCATTGGGGAAAATTGCAAAGGCCAAAGACAGAAATACTCTCATAAATTTATATTGAACAAACAGCATGATGAATGTGATGTTCCATATTATGAAATGTATGCAGCCCTCTCCAGGGGCAGCAGCACTGCTCGTGGAGAGGACGGTATCACTTATGATATAATGCATTGTCTTGGGAAACAAGCTTAAATCACCCCCCCCCCCACCCCACATCAAGCTGACTAACTCCTGGGTACATATTTACTACTAGGTGAACAGGTGCATTAGGTGATAGGAAACGCGCCCGACTATTTCTGTCCTGCCCAGGATTCGAACCCGAATTTCCGATTGTGAGTCGAAAACGAACCCAACCATCAAGACCCCTTAGACTACATCATGTACCTGGTAATTATTTGAACTGTTTAATGGGAGTTACGTCACCGGACAGAGCTGCCTGTATCATGGACCCGCTGTCTCTCGGTACCTGTACCCTGCCTGGACCAGCTATCTCGTGGTATCTGGACCAGCTGTCTCGCGGTATCTGTACCACAACCTAATCAACCTGATGTTTGTCCCATCTCACTGACCAGCTGCATGTGTAAAAGTTTTGAGAGATTGGTGCCTAATTGAGTATTGTATAGAGTTAAAGAGCACATGTCACCCAATATCAATGGTTTCACAATCTTTTTCACTGTTCATTGAGATAGAAGGCACCAGCACACCATTTCTTGGTTCGAATAATGCCTCATATTGCTAACAGGAAAGTGATCTTGTATGAATTAGCTGGAATGGATATACATGGTCAATTGTTACATCATATTCAAGGCTACCTTACCAACCGGAAGTCCTCCGCACTGTTCCAAGGCTACAAGTGAAAATTAAATGAACGCAACTTGTCTTTCCTCAAGGGGGAAGTATTGAGCTTCAGTGTACTAATAGATGCCTTACTAAAATCGATCCCAACAGTCCTAAAAACTATTACCTGTGCAGGCGATATCCTTGGGTACACAAAATCTCACCGCGAAATGCAGCCAGTCTTAAACTGCAAACGTGCAGCTTAAGAGCCTTTGATCTTATAACCAACGCTGAAAACACAGGTGTTTAACAGACACATTGGTAATCGCACAATTGAACCACAAAAACTGAAGATTGAAAACTCGCCAATAGACCATATCTCCTCTTTCAAGTCCCTTGCTACATGTATGGGTACGGGTGAAGGCTATAGCGAGATCCATTATCAAGGTGTCCTTCCCAAGGCCACAGGGTTGGAGCCGGGGTGACGGCCGTGATCCTGGCGCTGTCAGTGTCTCGCCGCCATCATGGCAGCAGCAACCTCCTTCACTCTTCTCTTGTTGGCTCACGCCGCCTCCATCGTCGCGGGAGACACCACACCCTTGATGATTCCGGCTCAAACTTTCGAGGAATTCCAATCACAAAGCCAGGATCATTCTCAGGTCATGCGAGAAGTTATCGCCAGTGAATTTAATCACCATGTTCCAGCCTTAAGTGACAATCTGCGGGCCGAGTTAATTATCATGAGAAATGACATAACTCATCACATCGACTCTCTGAAGAATTACATGGACAACAAACTTGACAGGATGCAAAGAGATGCTCCAAGCAATGGCGGCAGTGAACCGGAGAACTATAGGAGCCATGAGAGTGAAGCTCGTTCGCCCGCCTCCATCAGCAACTCTGCCTCCATTCGCCACAACCTCGCCATGGCCGAGCTGCGGCGTCTTGGTGCCGACCTCACCCGGGCTCTCAACGTGGAAGTGAGTAAATTAAGGGAAGAGTTCCGCGCCTCACTCGACAACCTCCGGCAACAGGTCCAGAACTCTACTGAGAACATGGCTGGCAGCCTTCAAAAAGAATTTATTGCAAAGGCGGACGAGAGCACAACCATGCTAAAGAAGATGTTTTTCCTTACCCGCAATCAAATGGCGTTAATCCAGTCTCAGTTAGGCAACATCACCACAGCTCTGCACGAGGAACCCACCCAACCCGAGGTTATTGAAACTGTTACTAAGAAAACAGACACCACACAGATCCCCACCATCACCTCACAGGCCCCCACCACAATAACAGAGGCTCCTAGCACAACCACACTGGCACCCACCACAATCACACTGATCCCCACCATCAGAACCACACAGGCCCCCACCACAACAACCACACAGACCTCCACAACCACACAAGCCTCCACCACCACAACCACACAGGCCACCACAGCCTCACAGACCTCCACCACCACAGCCTCACAGACCTCCACCACCACAGCTTCACAGGCCACCACTCAAGACCCCACCACCAAGAAGGTCCCGACCACTACCACTATGAAGGACCAAACTATCCCATCCACAACAATTAAGGTAAGCAAACTATTTATAAACAGTTACATTAACCTGAATATGTATACAACTCTGCATTACAATTTCTTTTTACTGGAAAGAAATTCACATTACAAATGTATTTCGGTATGTCGTAGATGTTTACAGCTTAAGCAACGGAATTGATTATTTTTATAATAAACAGAAATGAAATTAAAGGTTCGAGTACCAAAATTGGTTTAAAAGGACATTAAAATACATTGTCATTAGTATCGTTTTCTCATTATCACAACTTTCCCTTTTATGAGTTTTATATTCATAGCAGTCATTAGCAGCTGATTATAATTATGAATATTCAGAAACTGAATATAATTATGCTAACTCGCAAGATTAATACACATTCTCAGTGTTTGCCTCAGTTACGAGGCATATTTATCGATTTAAAAGTGACAAATCACATTGTAACTTATAATTCATTGTAAATTCTTAGTTCTAAAACTTGTCTGAAACACTTTTTGTGTTGGTGGCTAGGCGCAAATGTACCAATTTTACCTAAAGGATGCAGTGTTCACCTGAGGGATCTCCCTCAGTCTTTACCATAGTTTGAAGAGTGGAGGCCCAGTTATTTATACGCGCTCCACAATCATAGGAAGAAGTCATCTCCCTGTCACAACTGCACTTCCAGCAGCACCATAGGACTGGTGCAAGGTGTGGGAAATTCTGACTCTTTGGATATTATTTAATTTGTTTTAATTATAATTAATGTAGTCTAATTTATAATGTATAATTGACTTATTTATTATTTATTTCGATAGCTTAGCGGGTTGTATGTTTAATTGAGTGGACTGTATAGCTTTACGTTCTCCCATAAGTCATATCCAAACACAAGTGAGGGGGTTAATTAATGATAGTAGCCTATCAATCGAGAATTTATCGATTGACAGGAAATTTCTACTAAATGTTAGTTTATTATTCTACTGGAGTTAGTTTGTACACCAAGGCCTTAGCTGTTTGAAGGCCTCAAGTACGGATATTATAGAGACACGTGAGCAATGTGCCAGGTATACACCTCGAGGCTAGGGCGTCTGTTCCCTTGTGGTGACAGGTTGCTGACGCCTAATTCCCAGGTCACCACATTAGATCTGCCGGAAGAATGCGATCTAACTATTGCAAATTTGCTTCCTATCACAGATATGGCACGTTTAAATTATTATTATTATATAGATTTTACTAGATTGTGAGTGGCTCGCCCTGGTTTGGGGTGTCGCCTGCCTCCTAACCAGTATGTCATTCATATTATTAAAAGGCCAATCAATAATATTTGGACTGTTTAGGACCAACCGGAAACGAGATACTCTCGTTATTTAGAGGTTGTGGCAGCTGAAGAACGTCTAGATGGCTCGGGTTCACGAATATAAACGAAGCTGCTTCCTTTTGCTACCTCACGAGAGCAGTGATCTCTCCACACTGCCGCCCGCCTTCCCCGGCTGTCACGTTATTGGAACCGGTCAGTTTCTGTTTATTTATAGCCAAAGGTAGGGAGGCATTGATTTTAATAGTAAATTTATTTTATCCAGTCACAGGGAACAGTTTTTTATTAATTTTAACACTGGACTGTGAGTTTTTAGTGATTATTAATATTTTATTAATATAATTTGTTGTGACGGGCAATTCCACTGTAATGTCGTTTTCTTTGAAAGAGTTATTCAATTCATTTATCTTGGTTTTGGTTAATGGGTTAGTACAAGAACAGCAGCACAATTATCTGCCTATTGTAACTAGAATTATTAAAGTAGGTCGGTTTTTTCCCGACACAAGGAGCTATCGGCGTAAATAATTTGACCAGCTCATCAATTTGACTTAAGGCATTGTATTTTGTTTCCTGTCGAAGTATGGATTGTTCTTTAATCAGCTTGTTGGGTGGGAAAGAGAGAATAGTGATTTGGAAAGAAAGTGATATCCCAAGGGGCAGGAGTGTGTCGTTATTGTTGCAGATTTTGTAATCGATTTGGATGAATACTAACCTTCAAGAATATTGTGCATATATAGACATAGGTTAGGTTAGGTTAGGTATTTAGGTTATGTTGGCGATTATTTGTATTTGAAGTACGTGGGTGAAGCATTTACATCGTTGTGGTTCGAACAAAATTCGTCAGTGAAGCACTTGTTCCAGAAGTGTTAGAACGAAATCTAACAGAAAAAAGTGAGTCGTGTGTAAGGCGGTTTTCATTTATAAAATTCATAAACAGGGGGTTTGCTGAGTGGATGGAATCACTTTTGAGTCTGTTTGGAGGACGGACTGAATGGACTTGAGTCGAGGACGGGTGTCCATTCAGTCTTCCATGTCAACACTCATCAGTTCAGATCCAAAAAGTCCGAAGAAAACAGACTAACTACTTGATTGTGAAGCACGTATTTAATTACTGAAAATTTAGTAATTTATCTGGAGGGGTCGAACTGTGACTCCTCATAGTTGACTGTTTGATACCTAACTAACCACAGAGAAAAGAAAAAAAAAAAGAGATGCACCAGGGGAGGAGAGCAAGAATGAATTCCCCAAAGCGTTGACACCACCGTTGACTTAGAGGTTCGTAAGTAGATGTGTAATTAATGATTGTGAATGGTTTGTTAGTACTTGTGTAACTGCCTGATGAATCCGGCCACAGAACGGCAACCGAACCCAGGGAAAACAAACACGACGGTGACCAGGTAACAAGCCGCCAAGACCTCATTAGACCTCCAAAATGCCAAGCGTGGATAAAAGCCCAGTACATAACAAGATAATGAGTCGTCGAACGATGAATAACCACAGCCAGATAACCTATCCCTGGCAGAACAAACCATGAATTTGCCTGAAGATCTTCTCTTCTTCTTCTTGAGAATAGGTGCAGTTTACAGCCTGAAGATCAGTCTCCTTAGTGGCCTCTACGGGACAGAAAACCGGCGGCTTGTCTTAAGGATTGGTTTCAATATGGATTTTAAGCTTCGGGTGTCCTGCTGGGTGCTATTGATGGTACCAATAGGCGAGTATCGTAGATGGGTATTGGACATTAAGTGATTATTATATTTAGTTTATGGCAATCTCGTCTTTCAAATTTTGTATTGTAATAATTTTCCTTGTCGATACACGTCTATTTCAAGCATTATTACATTTTGGCCTCTTTTTATTTATTTATTTTTTTTAAAGTTATGCCACAGAATAAACCATACCTCAATGTAAAGTAAATTACTATAAATTGATGCATTGCAAAACGGGAAACAATGTCATTAGCATGGCAAAAATTGTTGTCTGAATTGCCTTTTTTTATTTATTCATTATCATGTCTTCTAATGAGCATTGTAATTTCTAGAAAATGCATATTAGGCAATAAAACTTATTACAGTATTTTTTCCTTATAATTAGTTTAAATAATTTTGGAAAGTCAAATGTAACGGAACAACTATTTATGAATAGTTATACAATAACAACCTTATTAGTTAATTAGATAAAACTGAGTAAAATTAAATTTCTAATAAGAGTTGTTGATTAATTGCAGTTTTTAATTTGCTAGGCTTGCCTAACGGGTGAATCCACTGTTTTTGTTAATCACAGGTACCCAAGAATGGATTTATAATTAAATATTTACTTTGACCTTCTTTTAATGCACGAAAACATGACAATAGTGCTTTATTGCACCACCAGCACTTCCAGCTGGTGTTGTGTGGAGTCGAGCCAAAGATCAAAGCCGTGGCAGTATACTGACCAGCCAGCGAGTGTAGGCTATTCCCTAACACGATTTAGGGTTAGAATTATATGCCGGGTACACCGAAGCGAGGTAAACCTCTCGGTGAATGTGTGAACCTATCTTCTTGATGTACATCATTTAATATAAAACGTATGTGATTGGTCAGTTACTCAGCTGCAGGGTATCGTGATTGGCTAAGCAATAAGATAAGCACTCCACTCTGAGTGGTCCAACGAAAAGCAGCGACCTGTGAAGAAGCGGGCTAACCACCACCTACACCGTTAACGATAATGAAACCATCGAACCCTAAGAGATGCATGTTTAGCAGTGTGACGGACACCTAGCAGATTTTAAGAACATTTTCATGAGCTCTGCCAGTAAAGCGCGAATATATATATATATATCCGCCTCACAACTAACGTTAGACTTTGAAAACTAAATAGACAATATGTCCATGCATTCTGCTCAAAGATTCATGGATGTCATTGACTAATATTTGTATAAAAAGTGCAAGGTGACGTCCCGCGAACCTTAAAAACAGTGGACATGGATTGCCTCACCAAATATGGCAATAAAGGCTTTCCAAAAATATTGCCGGTTGGAAAAATATCCCACATTAAGATTTGAGATGATGGTAAGAGGCTAATTCACAGGTTTTTACGCAACCAAGGTCAGCAAGACTGGCGCGGGCATTATAAAATTAAACGCATCACACATCAAAATGTTAAGGATTTGTACACGTATGCAAAATACTTTGATAAGTGACCATGGAGCAGTAGCTCATAAAATATATGTTAAGATTGTTGTTAAGATTCGCTACTTGGAACAAAACGTTCCAAGCAGCACGGGCTATGGTGAGTTCGTGTATTCTAAGGAAATAACACGTTCTGGGCAGTCAAAATATCAGAAAATGTACATACTCTTTACTACGCATTTAAACTACTGTGACTCGCTGAAGGCACTGTAATCCTTGGAATGGTGTTGTGTAGAGAGGTGAACCGTGTTGACATAGGACTAACTAGTGTTGCTCCCGGTGTTGCAGCCAGAAGTGTTCCCCCGGGAATGTAGAGAAGCGATGAAGGAAGGAGGCTCCAGGACCGGCGTCACACAGATACAGCCGGCGTACGACATGCCTCTCAAGGTCGGTCTCTCTTCTCATTCTTTACGTTCCTTTCCCCCCATACACATCCCCGCGCTCACTACCCTTGATACTTACTCCTCACCCTCTCCCTGCTGACTGGTTATCTAACTCAACACCGTACCTCACGTTAGTGTTGAGCCTCCCTCCCCCCACACGGTGCCACGCCCCCTCTCCATTCTCATTTCTACTAATGTATATGACGCTTACTAGGAGGGGTACCAGACGGTGCCAGGAATAGTCCCTCTATCCTTCCTCTCCTTTTCACACTACTTCGCCACTCTGGCTTTGTGGTAAAGTAGTGTGCTTGGGAGTACCAAGTGAGCAGGTTCGAATCCTCCTCCTGAATTTCTTAACTGTATAGGTCTTTCAGAAAACATAATATGATCACAAACTATATGGGAATTTCACCATTTCACACTTGACTCCATGAAAAGTGAATGGGGGGAGGGGTCTCTATAAATGCTAATTTTTCTTGTATTTATCTTAGGGTGGGCGTGGTGGGCCTAGGTCCCTCAAGTACCCCAGAATATTTCCACTTTAAAGTTTGGAGAGGCTATCCATAGCGTCTGGCCTCCAACTTTGGACAAACAGGCGGACGGACACTTTCTCTTATAGATTAATATTGTTTGGGATGATCCACTTGGAAAGAAATATTTTAAAATGCCAAAAATAGTTTTAAAGCAAATTGTGCCTTGTTTACTTGTAGTTCTATTCTCTTGGCTACTGACCTGTATGGACAAAGATGCTAGGTAGAGGGAATCATATGAACCATCTTAGTATAGTGCCCAATAACTCTTACCCAACCTCTGTAGTCTAGACAAAAATTTCAAATATCCTTGTTGAAAAGTTTTGATGTGGTATTTCCTGCATGCTGGGAGTAGCGAGTGTGGTGCGAGCAGAGCGTGGAGGGCGGCGGGTGGACGGTGATGCTCCGCAGGAGGCGCCAGGACCCCCAGCTGGACTTCAGACGCTCCTGGGACACCTACGCCAGAGGCTTCGGCGACCCTGACGGCGAGTATTGGATAGGTGAGTACCCCCTCTCCCCACCCCCCCCCCCCCCAGGGTCATTACCTACAAGGAATCGTTATTATTTTGGCTGTTAGTAAGTTAAATATATTGGTTAATAAATTAGAGGTTCCGCGGTCTTCGGTACAAAGAATTGTACACATTTTATAGTTCCAAGTAATTAATGAGTGTATTGTCAGGTCTGGAGACGCTGTACCGGCTGACGAAGGGTAATCCATACAGCTTGCGGGTGCACATGACCTGGGAGGACGAGGAGGCCACCTCCCTCTATCACTTCTTCAGGTGAGTACTCTGGCACTCCGGGTCACTACAGTCACTCGTGCATTGACGTTTTCGAGGTATATAACAAAGGTGAAATATAGTTGTATAAACCTTAATTTTTCAGACGTTTTCGTAGTGCCAAATATATTTCATCATTTACTCAAGAATCTCTATTTTGTACATGCCATCCATACAAGTTGAGGTGTTGTAATTTTTGGAGGATGTTGGAACATCGTGTAAAGTAATAATTATTTAGGCAAAATACATACATACATGGGGATATAAGAAGTTTGTAAGAATCATAGGTAGGGCAGGTACAGTGCCTATAGCTCAGGAAATTTATCGTTACCGCTTCCATTGGTTTTGGAAGCGGCAATAGGAAGCGTTACCTCAGTGTACTGGTACCCCAATGGTTTGTCCTTAAATGACTCTGGGTAACATTAATAAGGACAGTTCTGATGTTTCCCAGCTTTGCATATATGTAGCTTTGTGTGTGTGTGTGTGGGGGGGGGAGGGGGTATGCATGCATGGTTAGGAACAAGTCTTTAATATATTAATTTGAATATGATTTGCTTGCAAACGCAGCAGCGTTCAAGTGCCAATACTTTACAAATAAATAAATAAATAAATGTTTATTTAGGTAAGGTACATACATAGAGATTTTACAAAGTTTGTTGGATTAATAGAGCCCAGTAGCTGCTTAATATTGGCGTTCACAGCAGTCGCTGTTAATGATGAGTTGCTAAGGCAAGATATACTATATGGGTAACTTTTTTTTTTTTTTACCAAATGCTATGCAAGAGTAAAGAAATCCAACGCAGAACTCGTGGATAAGAGTGGGGATCTCTGCCACAGTTAACACAAACCCAAAGTTAGTGAATAATAATGTGTGGATCTGCTATAGTTGCCAATAGCAGCGCCAGTGATTAAGAGTGGTTCTCCTCGACAGTGTGGGTCCCTCCAGGAGCAACGACCATGGCTACGAACTAAGCGTCGGCGGCTACAACGAGTCCAGCACAGGAGGAGACGCCATGGAGTACCACAACGGCATGGACTTTACCACGTATGACTCTGACAACGACGGCGCCACAGGTCAGTAGGAGTCTTCCCTTTATGTAAGTAGAAGTCAGATGTAGGTGACGACTTTCCTTTGATGGGTGGGAGCCAGGTCCAGGTGACTTCACCACAAGGTTGTGTAAACATTGCATTGCCTCTGTCAACCTGTCCTCAGGAAAGAGGTACCCTGGAGGTAATCACTTTAAAACCATCACGTAATTAGTGCTATTATCTACTCCCAATTCATGGTTAGGTTTTATTACATTAATATGTTGAGTTTCTCAAATGTGTGAAATTCGTAAACTATATTTGTATGTCCTAAAATTCTGTTTACAGAAAACCAAATTCTTTAGACCGTTTCAAAGAAAAAGAGTTAAGCATAGACCTTTCATATTTTAAACCAACGATAGTTAACTATTCCCAAGTTATAGGACACAGTTTCTCTGTTTATGACATAGGTGCACTTGCTAGTTGACAAGACTAGTATTGGAATCGTAATATGCTTTCAGATTATCACGAATATCTAGATAAATATCCGTGTTTAACCAGGGCGGCATTTTAAAAACACTACCTTGAGAACGGCCAGATCACAGGTGCTACATGGATGTGTTGCGCCTGGCAGCTCCAACGAGTAATCGAGGGATGCCTCTGCCTCCTCGATGATTGTCATATTGGTGATGCCTGTGGGTGCAGGTACCGATTGATTGAGGAATATTAAACCACCCAAGAGGTGGCACGGGCATGAATAACCCGTAAGTGGTAGATTTTTTGGAGTGTGTGTAATCTTTGGTCGTGAAAGGTTGTACCGTGTGCTCAGCGCGCACTTAAATCGTCAGTCCTTACTATGTGGCGGCTATCGTGGGGGAGGATACTGCTTGACGTATTTGAGGTTGTCCATCTGCTGGACACCTTGTGCTGGTACTTGTGTAGCAATACTTGTCTACCAATGGCTACGGGAAAGGAGGTTTAGTGCTCTATGTTCCGCCTACTTTACTTGTTGCGTTGTAATTTAATTTAACTATTCTGACGTTCGAATTATTTATCTAACCTGACCTTAGTTTGGATGGAGGTGGGTTCCGTAACTACTACTTTCAGTTCATTCCACATACAAGCCACCAGTATTCAGAGTATTTCCTTAAATGTCTTACTCGTCCGTGTTTACAGCTTCCACTCAAGCCCTACTCTCTCTCAATTTAAATAATCGTTTTTCTTCATCTTATACGTTATCGAGGGAAATTGATATGTAGTGATCATGTCCCATGATTCTTCTCTCCTCCAGGATTGTGAGGTTCAGTTCCGTTAACATATCCTCACAGTTTAACCCTCTAGCTCTTGCTGCCAACTTCTCTACTTTTTCAATATTGCTTTTTTGGGTTCAAAAGGGGCAGACAACATACCAGTACTGGTCTGAAAACTACTGAAGATTGCCTTGAAAGAGCCCTGCTTTAGGTTTCTAAACGACGTTTTAATGTTTGCCAGCATCCCACATTGACGATGTCACTGTGTGTGCCTCTGGTGTTAGTGTAGGAATTGTATTCACTCCCGAATCTCTCTATTTTTAGATTCATGTAATTGCCTTTCCAGTATGGTGTAGATAATTTCTGGTTTCCTTTCTCTCCCTTACTATCTTCATACCTCACACTTGTTAGAAATGAAATCAAGCAATCGTTTGTTTGCGAGCATCACAGAAAATGGCAGAATGCAAGGTAACGTGCAACAGGCAATGCACCAGTGCTAAAGCTGCCCCCGCTCCTGTGCCAGTAAGTCCACTACGGGCTCACCATATCCCGCGCTTCTTGCAACTTTTTGTTCAGAGTTGCTGAATCTGAAAACGACAAAAAATGCTAGAGTATCACAAGATGAAGAGGGGGCGAGGCGTGGGAAGGTATAAGGAACGCGGGCTTCTAGCACATACAAGGGAGACGTCTCCCGTCACGCAGGGTGCAGTCGCAGCTCCACAGATCTGCAGTATCAGCTAATGATACTGGTAATAGCTCAAAAGGGCTACCACTTACGGGCTATTCATGCCCGTGCCACCTTTTGGTTGGCTTAATCTTCATCAATCTGGCACATACTATTTTCTTTCAGTTCAGCACAACAGTTTGCATATAAATCGGTTCTGGTTCAATGTGCTGTACAACATTGACAAAAACAGCACATCAATCTCGTGTTGACCGTCACTACATACTTGAACTTAAACAGAGACGCTCAAGTAAGTTTGAGGTAATGATATACATCTCAAAAGGATAGTTGTTTAGGCTATTTCTTCCATCTGAGTGTTTTGGCAAAACATTGAGTAGCGCTCTACCATCGTTGAAAACGTAAGATCAACGGTGACTCAATATTACATCAATGTAATTATCCTAAATTTGCCCGAGGAGATAGTTAGGTATAGCCAGAGGCGCCTTGTTCGCTCGACTGCCTGTAGCCCGAGGGTTCCACAACGGGTGTTTATAAGACCAAGGAATCCGCGCCAGTTTCCTGTCCCCGTCAAGGTCACATAAAATGGTGACCCCTCGGGCAAATAAGGTAAAATAAAAGCACCTGGCTGCTTGTGAAGGCTACCAGGCTACTAGGATTGTTTTTCATTTATTATGCGCCCGATAGCCATATTGTGAGCGCTAAGGGAAACGGTTACAGAGGTCCATAATTAACTCGAGAACTAGACCAAAAATTTAGTTAGCTGAGCAACTCGTAGGTCTTGCGTAGGGTCCCAGTAGCCACAGTTGTGTGTGGCTAGCGTAAGATTGTTACAGCTGTAAGCCAGCTTGTTTGCTCCGTGTAAAGAGGGGGTGTGAGATCTGTAAAATAATATCTAGTGGAACCTGGGGACCTTCGATAAGCCGCCGGCTTCCTGTCCTCGTCGAGGCCACTAGGGTTAGTGGCCCCTCGGGGTAAATCGGGTAAAAATCCGTCTTTAATCTTGTTGATATCCTTCCATGTCCGGCTTCGGAAAATAAAATTTCGGGCCATTGACAAAGGTTTCCCAGTCTGCCTACCTCGACTCTTATTATACACTCCCTTGCCGCAGGGCCGCATCGAAGAGCTTAAGCATATCATTTGTGAGATTCCTAAACGCCAGTCCAATTCTTCTATCCGTGTGTTTGTGTTTGTAGTTTGGCGTCTGTGAAATTTGGGTTACACGGGGTCTGGGCAATGGAGCAAGTGCTTTTGTAATGTTCGATATTACATGCAAGTTAACTGTTACAAGAAAGTTCGTAAGAATTGTACAACTTTGACACATAATCGACAATTGTCACGCTGGGCGGTGGGTACAGCTAGCAGAGGAGAACTACTTAGTGGTTAATATGGGTGGTGATCTAACAACGTCATGCGTCATTATTGACGGCGTAAACGGCGGAGTGTTGAAGCCACGACGGAGGTCAAGAATGCCTCCCTAGTCATGCGTCGGTTCAAGGTCTCTCATAATCTGCGCATCATCGTGACCAACAGCGGGTTGCTTTGTGGCGAACACCGTGCTCCTCGCGGTTTACTCTCCATGACAGGATAGACGTATGGGCAATGTTTCCATTCACTTGATACCTCAATTCATCTAGCCGTAAATAGGCACGCAGGAGTTAAAAAACAGTTGTGGGTTGCATCCTGGGGTAGGTCAGCAGAGGGACCTCGATAAGTTCAACCAATTTCTTGTCCTTGAAAATGAGAAATCAAAAGTTGAGAATGGCTGTGGCTCCAGTTTCCCGACACCGAAACCCACTATATATAATAGTGTCCCATAATCGGGGACAGAAATAAGCCTGGTAAGAGTTATCGATCTTCGCCCTACTAGGCCAATGACTGATCTGTGTATCGACAACAACTGCCATGTTCTCCCCCGTGTCGTGTGTCCACCTGACCTTTGTGTTGGTCCTTGGTAAGCTGATCATCATTTGGTGTGATGGGCAAGCTTTGCTGGTTAATGGAACTCCATGGGAACATGTGTTAAAATAATTACATATGTCGTTAATGGAGAGTAGAGGCAATTGCAGGTGTCATTAGCGATTATGGGGGTTGTGAACATTAGATATGTTGTTTGCTACACACCGTTGCAGTAGGTCCCACAACAAAATATACTTTTGCAGCATCACTTCCTGGAATTAGTTATTTTTCCATAATGTCCACATATTATGAACTAGTCCAGAACTTAGAACAGTTATAGACTGGTCTATAGTCCATAACTCATAATTCCCATATTTATGAAAACTGATGTTCTCATAATGCTATGTTACATTTCTATGGAACACGTTAGGCTCCATATGCACGTGAGTACATATTAATACGGTGCACATGCCATATTAATATGTACTCATCTAGTGCTTGCGGGGGTTGAGCTTTGGTTCTCTGGTCGGGTTGAGTGTTAGCTGCAGGTTCCTGACGTCTGGGCATAAGTCTATATGAAGCATGCCAACTCTGATACTATAAATGTTTCCAGACTAGTAGTAAACTTCTGTATCTTTGCCAACATTTCGATACTGTATATCTGTAAATAACATTTAAATAGCTATGTGGTAGTTCGAAAGACAGGTTTTAGACAACTGCCTAAAATATCATCCTAGGTCTATATGGAACCTGCAATTGTCCCCAACACAATAAAAACATAGCCTTAATAATTGTGTGTTGACTGTCTTTACAGGCGGGAGCTGCTCAGAATGGTCAGGGGGCGGTGGGTGGTGGTTCAACTTCTGCTACTACAGCAACCCCACCGGCATCTACCCTCCGGCCGGCCTCCCGGAATCCACCAAGGTCGACCACTTACTGGAGTGGCGCAAGTGGCAGGGCTACTACACCTACCTTTCCTCCCTCACCATGATGATCAGGCCAAACTGAACCGCTGGTGTCTGGGGTGTTAGACTGTAACATGATGCAGAATGTTGCCACATTGCTGGCAACATGCTGCAGGATATAGTTGCTGGTGCATAACTTTCTGCCAATTTAGTTTTCTTAGATAATTTAAGAAACTTGAAAGTAGATTTATATTAACGAATGTTATAGCTATGTATCAATATTATTATTAAACTTAAGCTTATATATATCTTTTAAGGCCCCAGTTTGCAGGGAGCTGTACTGGTATGATGAACATAAACTATTAGATTAGCAAGACAAGTGAGGAATGCATGAGGAAGATTGAGAATGAAAGTAAGCGGGTAACTGAGCGAAGTTAGAAACGCTAAGAGTAAAATGGGGCTGTACGATGGGGGACGGGGTGTTCCCCTGTAACCCCCCCCCAAAGGAAAGGTGTGCCCCAAGGAGGGAAGAGGGCGCATAGTGTAAGTGGTAGTATTGGAGGTCAGCATGTGGAGTAGAGGGGCATCTTGGGCAGCGTCCTGCGCTATAGTAGTCGTTGGCTGAAGGAACAGGCATCCCCCCTACCCAGGATAAGAGAGGAGAGGGTTCCGCTCTCCTATAAAAAGGATGGCGCGACACATGTCAGGCATAATTTTAAAAATGAGTGAATCGAGTTTATATTTTGGGGTTATTAATACTCTAGATTCCACACTTTCTTTTCCCCTATGTCCATGTCTTCCCTCCTCCCCTCTACCTTTTCATCTCCATTTTCCCCACCTCTCCCTCTCACCCCATCTCCTTGCCCCTTTCCCCCTCCATCCTCGAACAAACCTTTCTTCCCCCGTTCCTTAGGTGACCACCCCTAATCTTTCCTCAAAAAACCCTGAAATAACTGTCTCAGATTGCTGTTCTCTTCCTTCTCTCAGATTTGGGGGAGGGCGGACCACCAGTGTTAAACATTGTTAATCACATGCCATATTTTACAATTGACTATGAAAATGATAAAGGATTATTTATAATTGCTATTTCTTAAAAGCTTTTAACTTGGGTCTAACCTGACCAGTCTGTCCTGTACCCAAGACCATGCAAATTTGGGCGAGGCTGGCCCTAAACATCTGGCCTCCAAATTTGGATGGACAGACATACATTCTCTCATCTGGTATAGATTTCTATTATTTATTAGAATTGATTAGATCAATCAAAAACCAGCTCTACACCATGTGCAGTAAAGGAAACCAGTCTGGTCAGGACAAATTTTAATTTGCATTTTAAAATGTTCCTCACCTGTTTGCAAAATTGATTTTCAATGCTGCCATATACTTTTGCAGCCAAATCTCCCCCTCCAATTTTTTTCAACAGTTAATACTTGTCCACCATTTTTACATTCATCGCATTCCTACTGATCATCCATCCAACTATTATCCTCACTCGTTCACTTTCAATCTTTCCAATCAACCTCTTGGCATCCACTTTCATCTTCCTGTACTCATCCATTACAGATTAAAATAAATCTTTCATCCGTTATTAAATTAGTTCTTTCTATTCATTCTCTCCAGTCCTCAACATTTAGGTCATGAGCCGTAACTATGTTCACCTATAATAACTCCCTTTCACAGGATAGTTGGTAGTACATGGGATGTACTACTAGACAATAGTACATCCCATGTACTACCTACTAGACAATTTTACAGTACTAGGCTACTAGTTTTGTCTAGTAGCTTTTACTAGCTACTGGATGAGCATAGATAATGAGCAAACCTAATATCCGTGAACGAATGAAATTTAGTTGCAATTTAGTTATTAGTCTCCAGCTAGTATATCATGCCACTTGGTCTAAAATGTTTGATAGCTGGTGGTGAGCCTGGGGTGGTCAGTGCTGACAAGCTAAAGTGTACTAAAATATTTTATGAATATTAGTGCAACTCATATTTTGCAGACTGCACGCTGCACCAAATTACATTGGACGTACTACTAGCATTATGAATAAGTGCCTTGGGCTTAATTTATAGGAGGGGGTATAAAACATGTACAGTACTCATTAATCTACACAATCCCAAATCATCTCTACTTAGTTAAAAACTCCATTATCACTACATGCACCGGTGATGTAGGAGGCTATGCAAACTTTAAGCTGTCTTTAATTATAAGTGGGCAGGACAGAAATGGCTGGGCATGTTTCCTTTCACTTGATGCCTTTGTTCACTTAGCAGTAAGATGGGTAACAGTGAGTTGGGCAACTGTTCTGGCTGTAACCTGGGGAATGTCAGTAGTTGGCCTTAGCCTAGGGCCAACTACTGATTTAGGCTTGCTCAGTGACTAAATACAGGCTTCCTGTTCTTGACAAGTGATATTCTATTCTGCACTTCACCTGACCCGCAAGATTGACGGATGCAGTGATTTAGGGCAACTCGCACGAGTGACTAGGGTGAAGGGATCCTTGCCTATAGAACACTAAAATAATGTGTGTAATTTGTTACAAAATTTTAGTGTTCTTGGGTTTCCTGTACCTTAATTTTTTTTTTCCATGCATATCTATCCTGTTGAATTTTCAAGTGTGCCACCATTTACCACCCACCAACAATTTGGAGCCATAAATTCCAGAATCATATCCATGCTGGAAGGGGTACACAAAGAGTGGGGCATTATTTCTCCCAGTGGTAACATTTTTTTGTGAAAACCATTTACAGGTCTGCATTATCTGAATATTTTTGGTACTTTCAATCAAATTTCATTTATTTTTACTTTTATTAATATAATTTTTTTTATAAAGTATGTTCTTTGTTCAAAGTTATAATATTTCTTGCAATATTATGGGAAAATAAAGTCCGCACATGAAATGCTTCTTCTCATGTAAATGCTTCTTCTCGCCCTACAAATTTTACCTAAAATTATTTATCTTGAAGATATATAGATGCTAGAAAAATTGTTAAGAGTTGATATATGACAACTTTAAGTTTAAGATGGCAAAATATATTTTATAATAATGTGCACATTACATACACAAATCTCACTAACATGATGCATATCAAAGATCAACTGGAGCTCTAAGGTGACTCGAACCCGCGACCAGCTGCAACCTCTACCATTGTACCACCATCAAGTTGTACATCTTTGGAGTCTACTGAATTGACAGGAAGCTCTGGAGGCCTCTCCTGAAGCCATACCAAGTTTTACATATAACCCCCAAGCACCCAGGTGTGGGTAAAGTAGGTCAACACTGTACTCCCTAACATCAGTAGAATCCCAGGTTGTATAAGTTATATTAAGCCAGAGTGGTATGCTTCTTGCAGGTGCAAGTCACTTAAGAGCTCCAACTGATAATCGGCACAATAACGTGGGAAATAAATAAGTTTCAAACATTACTAAACTGCTAGAATTTTAATAAAAATGAAAATGAAACGGAACACAAATGGTCAAGACCAAATATAAGCGAAATAACCTGACTCCTTTGTGTTTTTTTGTTCTGAATCTTTTAAAACTGTTTTGTATCCATTATACTGTACTAGTACTACATAAAGTGGAATTCAGTTTGAGAATGTTGGCACTTGTCTATACACAAATTGCATTTATATCAAAATTACATTTTTTATATCCTAACTTTTACAGGGTTGTGTTCTGTATACAGTACTTGCAAAATTTATAGACAAAAAAATGATAACAGATTACATGAAATGAAAAAAAAAAAGATGAGAGAAAATTGTAGGTACAGTATATTAAAGCACATAGGTAGCTAAGATTGATTGCAATGACAGCTTGAATGGTAGTTGACAACAAATTGGTAGGCACAATACAGCATATGGCTAGCACATAAAAGAAGACAGCAATGAACACAATGATAAGGTTGTTTGATATTACATAAAAATTAGGAGATTGGGTAACACTAGGTACAGAGCAAATTTAAAGCTCAGTGTAGGAAACTAAGAAGATGAAGTTAGGTACTTTTTGGTTTTGCTTTTAAATAAGGCAAAAGTTTTACAGTTTTTCAATTCACTAGGGAGTCAGTTCCATAGACTAGGTCCCTTAATTTGCATAGAGTGTTTACACAGATTAAGTTTGACCCTGGGGATTTTGCAGGCATACCACTAGGAACTGGTTGTGGCTCACTGCTTGCTTGTCTTACTAAGAATCTGTCTAAAGACATTTGTTTTTCCTACATTTTATAACTTGTCTGTAGTGAGACATCACATTGTCATTAATAAGGTCAATGCAACAGCCTGCTAAAGCTTTATCTGGGCAAGTCTTTTCAGTAAAACTTTGCAGTATTTCTTCCCATAATGCACATATTTTCTTAATTAATGAGGACGGGATGTCCTCTACTTCCTCCTCCTCCCATGAAGACTTGTTGTACTGCCTAGCTAGTTCAACAATGCGTGTACCATTTTCATGTTTACGAATGATCTCTTGTTTTTCCTCTATAGTCATCCTCACACGTGTTTTTTTAGTTTGAACCTTTCCATTGACTTTTTTGGGACCCATGGTGTGATATATATAATAATTACTTTTATGTTCAAAACCCAAAAAAGCAGAAAAACAATGAAATTCTTTACAAGGAATTCGAGCATGATTGTCATTATGCAGGAGCCACTGGTAAACTGAAACGCGGGCAACCGTACCACCAGGAACCACACGCTCGGTCTACTCATACGTGTACCAACATACTCGTAACTCGAGGCAAAGCTTGTAACCCAATTCAAATTTTACGAAGAAATTGGGTTCGTAACCTGAAAAATTCATAAAGAGGGGCATTCGTAAGCTGAGGTGTCCATGTACTCAATGTTGAATGGGCTCAGTTTCAGCACTAGACCAAAGGCCCTACATCCAACCAATCAGCTAACCTCTGCTCCTACCTCTCAACCCGTCTGCTCCACAGTATTTGTCTGCAAATCTCATTCCTCAAATCCACATTCAACTATAACACAGACCTTACAATTAACACTTCAAAGACAATCACTAAAACAACTACATATACACCACCTACATCATACTCTTTAAATTTTCTCTGATTACTTCACCGGCCTGTACTTATCTCATTAGTCTGCACCTTTCACACAAGCCGGTGCTCTTTATACCAGCCTATATTATTATTACACTGCCCTTTAAGAATTGTACACCCCCTTCCTTGTAATATTTACTGATGACAAAAAATTCTGAAAGCAATAAATATGATAAAAGATTACAACAAACAAAAACATGACCTGGACAAACTGAAAGAATGGTTTAATAAATGGCTATTAGAGTTTAACTGCAAGGTAATAAAGCTGGGTACTAAGAATGATAGACCAGGCACAAAGGACCAAATGGGGGAGAAAATCCTAGAATTGGATAGAAAAACTGGGGAATTTATATCAGACCAAACCTGTCTCCTGAAGTCCACATCAAATGGATATCATCAGCTGCATGTGTAAGATTGGCCAATACAAGAAATGCCTTTAAAAATATGGAGTCATTCAGGACCTTATATACCATTGTCAGACCAAATATTTCAATATGTGACACTAGCACAGAGTCCTTATCTTCTTAAACATAAAACAAAACTGAAAATGACAAGAAATATACCACCAACAAACATTTACCAGAGCTGAGATACTGTATATGATTTACAAGAAAAGACTAAAGGAATTAATCCTTATATCACTGAAGGCTAGAAGAGTCGGGGAAGATACTACTGCCAGGAAAATTAACAGGCATGCAAAGACAAACTATTTGGCATAGGTGGTTCATGATCAAGAGTATGCAGGTAGAAACTAAGTACCTAAATGAACCAAAGATATTGGTAGTTATTTTTGTCAATGTCAGAAAAGTGACTAAAAGGAATGTGCCAGCAAATTGTATGTTATTAGACCATGACATTCTCCTTTCTCACTTTACCATTTAACAGCCATAGTTACTAGATATTCTTACATCGATCTTCCATCAAGTTATTATACAGTACTATAAGAAATCCTTGGTAACATGGGTTTTTGAATGGAGGGAATCCCTGTCATAATGTTACTGACAGTAGGAAAATATAATAATGTTATCAAATAAATCATTATACTACTGTATACATTACCATGCTGCATTTTAAACTAATGTAGGTACTGTAAAAAGATACTGAAAATATAAAATCTTAGGCCTAAATTAATTTCATGAAATATAAGTGGTTAATTTGTTCAACATGTCTAAAATCTTTACTGCTAGTAAGAAACCTCAAGTTGGGTGTAACCAATTCTGAGGTGGCCAAAAGAGATAGCAAATTTGAGACATGGGAGACTTTCCAATCAATACATCTTTTCTGGGTTGAGCCCCGTCAGCTCCCTGAAGCTATCACACTGATTCAATGCCATAGCGTCAGGGAGTCTCCAGGACTCGCCCAGGAATTGACATTTCACTATATTCAATGCTGTTCTTTTCTTTTTATAATTTATAAATTATAATATATAGTTCTAATGGTTTTGAATGAATGAAAAACTAATTGCATCTGAAATTGCATAAAAATGCAAGGATAATGCAATTATACAAATTCATATATATGCAATAGTTTATTGCTTGTTCATTTGAGAATATGTTGAGCATATAATGGCATGATTTCCATGACAGAAGTGGCCATGAGAACCACAGTGATGAATCATGTGAGGGCACCAGTGAGATGATGGCCAGCCTATCCTGCCACGGTGCTGAAGTGTCACTGGAGTTGTTTTCTTAACTGTTCTTGATGGAGTAGATAAACATGAAAAACACCTAACTTGTTCTGGACTTTCCCTTCCTTGATCATTAGCACACTCTGCAATGCATGATCCACGTCGTGTGAGCGTTGGGGTACGTGGCCATGAATGGCCAACACATACAGTTCCTTGGCCAATTTGGTCTGTACTTGTGGTATTGTATTTAGGTAAACTGTTGCTACGTACAAGGCCACATGCCCTTCTCTGATGGTGACATCTAGTATTAGGTCTAGCAGAGTATGGACAGTGTGAACAGTGTGTGTGGTTTGAACAAGGTCTGTAAGTTATTAGTGGTTTATGTACATTTTCACCAGAAGTTTGGATAATTTGTCTTTCTGGTAAATTGAGTTGTCTGACATCAAGTATTGTTGAAGATGTTGATGTGGAATGTACAGTGCTTGGCTGGGATGACACATGGCTCTCAGAGCTTCCTGCATCAGAAACTGAAACTGGCATTTCCAAACCATTTTCAGTTTTACTATTTGAAACTAGTATATCATTTTTACCAGAGGTGTGGGTTACCTCACCTGAATCAGTGATTTTATGTTTAGGTGATGCAGATGAAGTAGAAAAAGATTTTGGCCATTTGGATTCTCTTGTTTCTGAGAGAGGAGGTGGTGGAGGTGTTGGTGTGGCTGGTGGTGATAACAATGGCCATGATGACTTTGGTGGTGATGGCAGTAGTGGAGATGAAACTGGTGATGAATTTGTGAACGGCATTGGTACCGATGAGTGCGTTGGACGCAGGGACAAGCGAGGGGACATAATGGGTTGAGTATGTGACAAAGGAGGGGGCGAGGATAGTATGGGTGTATGAGGGTAGTGTAGGGAATAGTGGGATGACAGTAATGGTGAGGATAAAAAGGGTGGTGGTGGAGGAGTTGGTACAGAGGACTCCATCCATGCAACATCTGCACCAAGATCAGGTCTGTGAAAGAAAAATACCACAAAGTTCTGACAATAATTTAGAAAAACACCATGTTGAAAATAGACTACTGAGGATAACATTATACCTGAATACACTTTATCTTATCCAACAGAGATAAACAGGACTAGCTGCTTATAAAGAAAAACAAAGGTGGAGTGAGGTCAGTTATGTGGGAGATTAGGGTCATGTGGAGTAGTGGTAGGTGCAGTTGGATCACAGCTTAAAGGTCATGGAACCCACCATGGGTTTTAATTCCTATGGTGGGACAGAAACGTTTGGGCAATGTTTATTTTCATCAGATGCTTCTGTTCACCTAGTAGTAATTAGGTACCCAGGAGTTGGCAACTCTTGTGGGTTGCATCCTGGGGAAAGGTAAATAGGTGGGAGATTTTGATAAGGCTAACAGGCTTCCTGGCCTGAACTATACGACCATAAGATGATCCATATAGATTTTTCTACTAACACTAGCAGTTGGTATAACAATACTGTTCTTTACAGATGCCAAACTTATCATTAAAGTAAAATGATATGTATCAGAAAAGTGTAAAAAATCTGTAGCCTGGTGGCATAGTGGAACACACTCACCCCCAAATCTTAGTGAGCAATTGTGTCTGGGTTCAAGCTCTGGCCATTAGGGTTGAATGGGCACAAATCCTTAATATTTTGCCTCTGTTGCCCTAGCAGTAATAGGGGATCTGGTGTAAACCAATTGGTGGGTTATGTACCTGGTAAAACTAGTAGGGCAAGGCTTACAAGAGAAAAGCTCTAAGGCAGTTAACAGGAGTCAGAAGTCACCTACTCATATATCTACCTGCGTTAGAAAAAAAAGGGAATCATTGAAATTATAGTACTGACGTACCGCATTTCAACTTGCAAAATTGTTACTTGTAAAATACAAATTTGTAAATGTCTAATCCCTCCTGTGCCTGGCCTCTCATCACCATTTCCTTTTTATTAGCAACTATATCCCCACATATCTCTTGTTAGACTTGTTAAAGTTTTTAGATACTTCCAATATTCAATAGTCTACTTTCTACTAGTTTCTCTACAATAATCACTGTAATATATATAATGAGCACTGCATATGAAGTGGCAATGAACAGGAATGAGAGGAAACAGACATAAGGAAATACTACTGTGGATATTTTCTGGTGTGGTGGTTAGTGTTTCTGAACTGCTAAGTGTAGATGGTATACTGTATATCCATATACCCTCTTTATTTACTTTATTTACTTATTTATACAGTATTATATATATATTATATATATATATATATATATATATATATATATATATATATATATATATATATATATATATATATATATATATATACAGTATATATATATATATATATATATATATATATATATATATATATATATATATATATATATATATATATATATATATATATATATATATATATATATATTATATTTGTATATATATATATAATATAAAACACGCATAGCATTTTGGCTAGGTTCTAAATCTAAATACAAAACTTGCAGTGAATAAAATCAGAAGGTGAAACAGTCAATCTTGAATACAAAATATATGTAATGGTAGGTACTGTATATAATAACAGAATTTGAATTCACATAATTACTGTACTAACATACAGTGATGATAAAATAAATTACATAATGTAGTTGTGTTTCTAGATAGTAAAATACTATGTGAGTTAGTATTTCAAGATGTGATACTATGATGATGAAATTTGACACTTCCCTGTTTTACTTTTGAATAATGTATTGGTTGAACAATTTTTTACTTCATTAAGAAGAGAGTTGCTATATTAGGTCCCTTTATTTGCATTGCATGTTTGCATGTTTACCTGAGGGCCACTAACACTCTAGTGGCATCAACAAGGAACAGTAAGCTGGTGACTTGTCATCTGTCCCTAAAAAAAAAAAAAATACCTAACCACTTGAACTAAGGGAATCGAATGGCGACCCTGCATGAAGTGAGGTCATCACTGTACCGACCATACCAAGTGGATAGACTCTGATAGTCCCAGAGTCAGACTAAAGACTTCCCAAAGAGATATTTATTTCTTGTGTGATGTTCATGGGTTCTACGTATAACATCCATCTAGGAAGCATTTTAAACAATTAGAATTTAGATATTAAGAAAGGTCTGTTACAACTCTGAATATCCTTAACCATCTTTTCCTACAATACTTTTCCAAACTTTCCAAGCAAATAGAAAATGGAGTAATCCACGATGCAGTTTACTTCAGTATTATTATACGAGGATTGATTCCAAATGAAAATCCAATAGCTAACCCACTTATGTACAGAATATTAAATTGCAAAATTAAACCTCACCCTTGCATGCTATTGGAGAGAGTTGTTGAGAACACAGAGGGTGTAGTAACAAGAGTTTGAGCTGTGTAGGATGAAGTCAGAGGAATCGTTCGACGTTTCCACTTCACCCACACAATGGCCATACTCACTATTGTCACTAATACTCCACATATCCCAACTGTAGAAGCAGTTGCAATAATTACCACATCATCACCTGAAACACCAAAGGTTAGTCCTTATAAATGTAGGTCAAGAGATTAGTTTTGCATCCTTGTTTCAAAGCTCTAAAGAGAGCAAGGTAGTGTGGCCTCGCTTTAATGAACTGTATAGGGCAAGGTTGATTCATTCCAGGAGGGATTTTGTTTGACCAGTCACACTCTAGGCAACACCCCCACCATTAACAATAATTTACTGTTCCTGCATCCATTATATATAATGCATATAAAGATTTGTAGCTTACCTTACCAGGAGAGAAGTGTAGTAAAATATCTTCATAATAATCCTGAAGCATATTCAGGCAAGTACAAATCTATCATAACCCATCTTTCTTCAAGCTCATTTTAAATAAAAAAATATGGAAATATAATTGATTATATAATTATCATTTTGACCATGGCATATGATATTGCAATCTTTGGCAAACAATTCCATATCATTTATAACTACAGTAACTACTGGTCAAGCTCAGTTATCTGGACTATATGGGCAGGACCCTCATCCGGATAAGCAGAATTCTTACAGGGAAAGTCCAAAAATTACCATAATAAAAATTTTTTGTACCCCAACCAACATAATTTGAACTTCAACACGCACTATAAAAAAAAACAGCATTGAATGTAATGAAACGCCATTTTCTGGGTGAGCCCCGGAGGCTCCCTAGAGCTATTGAGCTAAATATGCAATTCATTAGACCAGGGCATTAGTCAAAGGAGTTCAGCCTACCGGAGACTACGAGCCAGAACCTGGCCCCCCCTTAGAGAGGCACAGGGAGCAATGGCCCTGGACCCCCCCCCTGTGGTTGGGGGTTTTCCTTATCTGCCATCGACTGGGGTTAGGCACCCAGAAAGGTAGGCATAACAAAACAAACCCCACATGGTAAGAAAATTGCAACTAAAAATCAAACAGAGGCAGAACTCCCTCCAATCTCAAGGTAACAAGCAAACAAGCAAACGTCACACCCCACCGCCACAATGCTCGTTTGCACAGCCCACCCCCCAGAGGGGGGCTGTGATTGATTGCTTATTATTTTCGATTGCATATTAGCCAAATAGCTCCAGGGAGCCGCAGGGACTCCCCACAGAAAATGTAATTTAAAAGAGAAACTAAAGCTTACCTTGTTGTAGTTTGTCTTTTTGTTTGATAATGTAGATCTTGAAATGTGTAATTCTTGAAAAGTTATGTAACTTAATCTCTGGTTATCCAGATTTCTGTCTGGATATTGTGAAGTTTTGCCAGAAAATTATCTGGATGAAATTTTGGCCGGATAACCCAAATATCAGGTTTAGCGGAATCTGGATAAACGAGCTCAAACCGTATTCCTTTTCCACAGAGCTGTGTAAATCTTTTCAATACCGATTCATCTAATTTAGCATGCTTAGCAGGCTTCAATGTTTTCCTGTGGTCTACTGCTTGAGTTTCACTTTGAGCAAAAAACTTCATAATATAATCTTTTAGTTTTTTGTCACAAAATGCAGCCTTACCGATCTAGAATTCTTGGGTGAGTCTGGTGGCAGAGTACCTACACTTTGCTTTCTCTATCAAGTCACTTTTCTGCTCAAAAGATAAATATATTCCCTCTTCAGCATCATGAATGCCACTCTGAGACATCGTGACAGAGATAAATGTGTTCAAATAATAACAATTTTAAAATTTTATTACTAAAATCATTTGTGCATTGACCATGCATTTATTCATCAATGAGAGGAGGACATAGTACCAACAGACTTGGATGCATTTATCCAACCTTAACCCGAGTTAACCTGAAGGCTTTTTGTGGCCTCAACGAAGACAGAAGCCAGCAGCTTGTCGAAGGACCCCCCTCCTCTCCTCATCATTTGTTCTGATGATTTTAACAAGCTGGATCTTGAATTGCAGCAGTGTTTTGGCATTAGTGGCTTCAGGAGGTAGGTAGTTCAGTGGGTTTATAACTTTATGGTGATAAAGCATATCTTATTTTCTGTTCTTCATTGTGGCTTGTTGAGTTTGAATCCATTCTGTTAGTTTAAGCACTTGCCCGAAACGCTATGCGTGCTAGTGGCTTTACAAGAATGTTAATTCAACTTATTTTCTATATTCTCTGTTAACCCCCAATGTAACTTCTTGTATATAAATAAATAAATAAATAAAAATAAATAATTAAATTGTTCCTTATTTTTGTTACATCTGACCTTTTAAAGAAGTGGTCTGGATCAACATCCTTCAAGCTGTTCAATATTTTAAAAGTTTCATTGAGATCAGCCTAATCATGTCTGGTTTGCAGTGTTGTTGGCCCTGTGGACCTCAACCGTCCTGGTATGAGTCAACTTAGGTCTAGAATAATTTTTGTCGCCCAGAGTTGAACTATGTCTTTCTAAATATGAGGTCTCCATGTTTAGACACAATAATCCAAGTGAGGCACACCAGAGATTTATCCAGTTGAATAACTACATACTTTCTTTTCCTTGAAATCAATGTTTCATTTAACCATTCTTAGGATCTGTTTTGTATATTTTACTGCAGCTCCGACTTGTGCAACTTCATCAATCTGCTGCATGGTAATGTTGCAATGCACATTGTTGTAATTGAGTTCATATGCAAGGTCTTGCATTTTTTTATACTAAAAAGCATTTGCCAGTCTTTCGAGCACTTGTAATGTTTATGTATACAGTATCTCTTTGTAGGGCCTCAGTATCACTTTCACTTCCTACTTTACCATAAATCTTAAGTGTCATCTGCAAATTTGATGATGTGGTTTGTAATATTCTCATCTGTCATTGATGTATATGATAAAAAGGGTTGGCCCCAAAATGGGACCTTGCAGTACCCCAATGACCACATTTCTCTAGTCAGATTCATTTCCTTTAGGCCAACCCTTTGCTTTGTTTTAATTACTGTTTAATTCATTCTAGTATTCTACCAATTCTACCATGTGCTTGCACTTTTCTTGCCAGTCTTTCATATAGTACCTTATCAAAAACTTTAATAAAGTCCATGTATACTACATCTACTGGAAGTCCCTTGAATAGCTGGTCACCATTTCCAAAAATGTGAGCAGGGTTGTAAGGCAGGGTTTATTTTCAACTAAACCATGTTGCATTATTTTTACTAGATTGTTCACAGTGAAGTGGTGAATGATTCCCTCCCTTAGGATTCTCTCCATGAGCTTGCAGATATGTGAGGTCAAACTGATCAGACAGTAGTTTTGTGCCCAGCTCTTCCTACATTTGCATATTTCCAATCAAGAAGGAATTATTTAATACTATAACTTATTTATTAGTAATGAACACTAGCAGAAGGTCACAGTATAGCACTAACACTGAGTCTCATCAGAGTGGTCCCCTTGGGAGCAGTTAGGTTGACCATCACACACAAGGCTGGGGTGGATGCAAAAGTTGGCTGTGGTGATGCAGCCACCGTCCATGGACACTCCCACACAGTAAACTGACCAGGGACACCAGAAACCTTGCTGGTTACTACAGTTTTCTGAAACAAGGAATTAGATATAGAGGAATCATGAGCAATGTATGCTTAACAATAGACAGATGTGATTGGAACAATGAAAGAACATTTAATTTAAAAGCATAAATCAGTGCTGTATATGTAACTGTAAAAAGTTGTAAATACTGAACTTTCTACACATATGGAAAGTGTCTCTTATCTTAATGGACAGCTTAACTTGCCTTGTGTTGTTAGTAATACTTCAGTCCAGTAAAGATGAAAGCCTGCAAACTTTGTGGTATTGTCAGAAGATTCACCCGTTCTGCCATGAATAAGAGTAAGATCATCTACAGTATACAGTAGTTCCGTACTATATATTTTTACATATTTATCCTAGATTTTCTGGGAGAAAATATGTTACCTGTCAAGTCATTGATACCAAAAAAAGTTAAAATGTTAATGAAGTGAAGGACACAGTTATTAAAGACAGACAATCATACGTGAAAAATAAATACTGTAAGGATGGTTCTTTTTCCAATAAATTAATGGCAAGCTAAAACAAAGACAATTATATGGGTATTCTAAGATATTAACATGTTGCCTGTCTAGTATAACCAACTGGACACCTTGTTATGTGCCAGATAGAAGGCTGGCAAGCTTCTATTAGTCAGTGGAAGATCACATGAACTCAACGATCAACAAGAGTGACTTATATGTCAGACTGCATGCAGCTGTGTCTAACAATCTGATTGACCAGACCGTCAGCTAGGAGGCCTTATCAAAGGCGACTGGTGGTCCCACGTTGGAATCTGTGGAAATGAACAAGCAAATGTGCTAGCTGCTGAGGGCGCTGAAGGAAACCATATTAAATAATTCATACCAAAGACTCTTCTAGAAGTTAGAGGTATTATCAGGGAACATCACCATGATAATGTAATTGAGGAAAGCAGGATAGATGAACAAATCAATAAATCTGAATATTAGTACAATGTGGCTGCTGCTGGCAATCCCAATAATTATGGACGAAGGAGAAGTGGCCGTGGGAGAGAATCGGTAATAGCGAGAATTTTATTTATTTTTTTTTTTATACAAATACTCATGGAAATTTGGGATGGAAACAACAAAACAAAAGCTGAGCAGTGGCACTGCAGAATCTGTGATGAGAGTGATGGACTACACCTTCACCACTACCTCAGAGACTGTGGCCATCAAAAAGACATTAGAAATGTGTAGAATAATAAACCCTACACCGAGTTAGGAAACCAGCATTTGTTAAATGTAGATGCTGTTCATAAAAAGATTCCCCGACTTTGCACCAGCAAGGTAACGTAACATTAGGGGTTGGCACATGTTAATCTTCTTGTTTAACAAGCTGTTCACTAAAAACAGTTAATATAAGCTTGTCCCAGCTGTATCTTAGTACAAGTGACAGGATGAACAACCCAGCTGGGTTTTTTTTATTGGGGAGTGCTGGAAATGTTGCTATGGCAGCATATTCACTCACTTAATAAGTGGTGCTGCCAAATAAACTTGCCCTTAAGGGCAAAATTTAAACTCGGTTGCTTCCTAAATCTAGATCCTACTGTTCCCATAGAGAGGAACATCAGATCTTAAGTGGATTATGCTGCACCTCTGCTTGAATTTTTTTTATGCCTGAATGATGCCTGAAAGAAAGCTTGGAGGGCTTGACAAAATGCAGAACGAAACCTTGAGGATAATCCTTGGGTGCCCTTGTACCACAAAGATGCTTAACATGAGAAATGAACTTAATATTCCAAGCGTTGTTGATCGTGTTACTGAAATTAACTGTCAAATTTGTATAAAAATGCTTAGGCTAGCTCATCCTAACCCTTGTACAGAAGCCCTCCAAATTATCTTTACTGAAAGTCAACACTGTTCCAAATGGATAACTAAAACTGGAACTGAACTCAGAATGTATCAGATTTATCATTTGTACCAAGAGAAATGATAACTGCACTTTCCTGCACAGTGGGAGATTACACCCTTTCCAATTTTAATCACTCCTTTTCCACCCAGGAAGCAAATTGAAGATCAGCCCAAACTTCGTCTTGAGGCAAAGCTCAATGCCTTAAGCCATATTGATGCTGTCCACAGAGCATTCTCTCTCTCAAATCATATACACTGATGGTTCCGTACAGCACCCCACAGGTGCAGCTGGAAGTGCAGTTGTCCTGACAATGGGTGATATCATATATTTTGAGTGGGGAGTCTGTATAAACAACTGGGATCTCTATCCTTTAGGCCTAACTATTTGCCTTGCTTCTTGCACTGAAATGTGTACAAGTCTCCAAACTTGATACATTAATTGTAAGTGACTCTTTATCATCCTTTATTGCTCTCAACTCTTTAAGACATAACTGTAACATACTCGTGTATGAAGCTAGACACAAATACAACAAAATTATTAATGGTGGTAACAGAGTCCATTTCATGTGGACTCCATCTCATGTTGGCCTCCGAATGCATGATAGAGCTGATGAGTTAGCCAAAGAATCTGCCTTTAAAGAAGAAATTGAGTATAACCTTGGATTATCAATAAGCAGCCTGAGAGCAAAAGTACACCATAAACTTCAACAAAATCTTGTAGATCTGAGGCAAAGTGAAATCGACACCAGTAATTCCATCTATCATCATATGATCTTGCAAGAGAAGCCACACATTTATGGATCATCCAATAAAATCAGCAGACTTCTAGATATTACTATTGCTCAGCTTAGAATCGTTTAAAAGAATCTCTGGAAATTTACATTATCTGCTGATGTAGAGGTAAGAAGCATAAATTATATCAAGGCCTTATAAAGAGATGTACACAAATTACACACATGCTAGAGACTAGCAAATGCTTTAATATTGAAAAATACAAAACTTTGCTTTTAGGGGATAACAATGAACATTACAACTATTAAATCAAGAGCACTACCATGCAGCAGATTGCTGAAGAAACGGTCATAGGAGTCAGAATCCACCAGTCATTGAAAGTTGCACAATAAGTAGGGGCTGCAGTAAAAAATAAAAAATAAATCCTAGGGATATTCAAAGGGACCTTTAACCTCAAGGAAAATTAAGTGGTTATTCAATTACACAAATCTCTGGTACACCTTCATTTCGATTACTGTATCTAAGCATGGAGACCATCTTCAGAGGACATATCTGCTTTACAGAAAGTATAATGCAAAGAGACAAAAATCATCCCAGAACTAAGTCGATTTTCATACCAGGAAAGGATGAGGGCAACAGGACTAACAAGACTGCAAACCAGACATGACAGGGCGTATCACACAGAAACCTTCAAAATACTGAAGTTGGAGGATATTAATCCAGACCACTTCTTTAGAAGTTTATATGTAACACATACAAGGGTTAGCTTTAAACTTTAAACATAAAACAAAGCTTTAAACAAGACAATGTAGGACAGAAAACAGGAGATACTGTTTCATCCATAGGAATATAAACCCATGGAATCACTTACCAACCGAAGCCGTAAATGCCAAGACATTATACTACAGTTCAAAATCCAGTTGGATAAATTCTTAGGAAAACTGAGGGGACCTTTGACAACCCGCCAGCTTCCTGTCCTCCATCGTAGCCACTAAATAGATGGTGGCCCTCAGGTGAAAGTGAAATGGGGGGTAAGGCATGTGGAGAAATTTCAGTGTGACGGTAAATGGGATAACTTAAAAAGAAGTAAAGTTGACGGAGAAAGTAAATTTACCAAGGGCACTCATAAATTCCATGAACCTATTTTCGTGCCTTGCAAGATGGTGTGCAATGGGGGTTCGGCCTCTGCTTTATGCAAAAAAATAGCCTAAAAAAGTGGAGGGGAAATGCAACAAGAGTGAGAGAAGAAACAATTAGTTGAGACCTGTGTAAGGTGTGGAAGTTCTTATTCAATAGGGTGACCCAGTCGGTTGCAAAAGCTTACATAGCTCCAGGTGAGCGAGCGAGTTTCACCAGTTTTCCCGTGCAAACAGATATGGAAGGTTTTGCCTGTTTGCAGAAAGCTTGTGAATTTCATCGCACAGTATATTTACACTGTGATGCCGATCTTGTGCTATTTCACTGAATATACAGTTGGTTAAATTGCTGCCTGTGCTGAGCGAATAAGTGCTTATTTAAGCCACCTTGTTGGGGAGTAAGTACGAGTGGGCATGCAGGAGTTCCAATACTTAAGTTATCAGTTATTCAGCTATACCAAGCAGTTAGGAAAACTGTAAGTACAGATACCTAGTACCTACCTGAAAGTGACAATTAGTCTGTTCCACTGGCTGAGAAACACTTTGTCAGCCTGGTTGCGATAGTAGTAAAGGTCGCCACAGAAAGATTTGAGTCTCTTCTCTAATCTATCCACTGACTGGTACCCATCATGAATGGCCAACTCTGCCCGCTGGCAATTAGCTTGAAATATGAAATGTGCCATATTAATCTAGTTAAATGTAGCATTTATTCACTTAAATCTATGTCAAGTGGCTAAATATAAATGATATGGAAGAATGTTCTGAAGATACTGTCACTCAAACACAACATTTATGTGAGCAAGAGAGATTTTAGTTTGAAGGCCTAGAAAGACTCCATAATGAGGTGCTTAAATTGTTTTAACTCTTTTTGTCTGGCTTAAACTTGAAATTGTTAAGGCAAAAGTGCGAAATGAGACTTAAGGACAAAAATATCATGGTCATAGTGTACAAATATGCATAATAAATATATTTAATTCATTTTTGAAGATTATATAGTTATGCTCAGTGTATAAAAAACATTACATGACTAAGATGTACGCCTATTTTTATGGGTGAAATTAAACAAAATAAACTAAAAGACTGGATAAAATAGGGAAATTAGTTGCTAATGGAAAGCAGAGATACTTTTGAGGGGATCCAAGTCCTGAGGAAAAGATTGATGATCAAATTAGGCGAAACCATTTTTATGAATGTGATAGACAGCGTGCAGGCGCACTCTCACCTGACCCCACAACACTGTGCACATAGTGTACAGATGAATATTCTACCAAGACAGAAGACATGTTAATTGCGAAAACATACTCACCATTCATAGTAATACACTGCGAGGCCTTGTGTATACTGTATATGAAATACAAGTTAACAATAAAGCAAAATGATTTCTTAAATTTGCTAGACAGAGTATAGCCTACATTGTAAGTTGATAGTGTATCGTTTATTTATTTATTTATTTATTTATCTGTAGTCTCTCCCTCACCTATGCTGCCCTGAAGCTGAAGTTGGTGAAGGGACAGGTACACGTGGTGGTGGGGCCGAGCGCGCAACAGCCACGTGCACGACAGTCCTCCAGGGAAGTGTTGGGGGAAGCCAGGTGATATGAGGCTCCCTCCTGGTCCCTCCACTAAGCCCCCACACACCTCCTTCCCCGCCACCACCAGCGCCGGAGGCTTCACTGTCTCTGGAGGCGCAGCAGGGAGGGTTATATAGCCGCCTGGGCCAGTATTCATCAAGCAGTTACGCAAGTACTGGCAAACCTGTACATCTTTTATCAATCTTTGGTGGCTTTGTTTACAATTATTAAACAGTTTATAAGCTCCAAAGCACTAGGGGTGTTTATACAAATAATATTTGATTGGAAAGTTTCGATGCTCGTAATTTTTTAATAAATGTAGACAAAGCAGCCAAATATTGAGAAAAGATGCACAGGTTCATAAGTACTTGCATAACTGCTTGATGAATCCGGCCCCTGGAGTATTGTCACATACCTGTACTCCAGTATGTGACAATTGGAGTATTATCCAATTATCTTCCCCTGGAGTATTGTCATATACAGTACTTCTTGTGAGATGCTTTTCACAACAAAGCTTCAAAACTTGAATCCATTTGGTCCGATTTATTTTTAATTATACAGAACATGAAAGTAAGTAAGTAATTATTAAAAGAAGGCACCAAACCGGGACAGAACAGGAAAGTTCAATTATTATAGCCAATTAATATTTACCTGAAGTGCCATTAATCTATATGTTTACGATTTCTGCGACTGTTTCATGTGGTGCCATCCCAAAAGCTTTTCATTGATTTACATATATCAATGTAACATTTCCAAAAATGTGAGCATATTAGTTAGGCAGGATAATTTTTTTTACATAACTATGTTGTGTTAATTTTACAAGATTGTGCACTGAGAGATGTTGAATGACTTCCTTGCTTAAAATTCTCTCTATGAGCTTGCAATTGTGAGAGATTAGGTTGATTTGTCAGTCGTTTTCTCATTACATTTTCCTGCAATCTTAAAATGGGGTTTACATTTATTTGCACATACACATTCTAAGATACTTGTTATTGGTCTAGAAATTTGTTGAATAAGAGTTTGAGTGATAGACAAAGCTCATCAGGCAGTTTCTTGATGATTTTGGACTGAATTCTATCCACACCTTCTGGAGCTTTAGATTCCTTTAATGTGACAATGCTCTTCCCTCATTATTTCGCACGTAATGAAGATAACCCTCAACTCATTCTCTTTTGCTTCAAACATTTCTGTGGGTGTTGGGCTGTTTAATATTTCTAGCGTGAATATTGTTGTAAAGTATTCATTCAATGTTGGTCGCCTTTATACTGTACAAACATAAAAGGACTCGGTGTCTTTCATGATGTTTTGGAAAAGTTTGCTTTAATAGTTTCTTTTGGTAGTTGAGCTGATTTTTTGGGCAGCTAATTTAATGCCCTTTTGTATACAGTATTTGCTAATCTATATCACTCCTGGTAGACTGATGTTTCTTCCAGAGGTTGAGCTTAGTTGTTAAAGCTCTCTTTACTGTTCTTTGGACACATTAACATCAGTTGCCATCTTAATACAGAAACAATTTGTAGCATAATTTAAAATCAGTGAATTGTTAAACCGAGAGGTAAAACATGTACAGTAATTTTATCTGTCCGATGAAATTTTAATATTTTAAATAAAGTAATTATTCAGTAATGAGTACTTAATACATTTAGGTTTTTTGGTTTCAAGTAATGCAAATATTAAGGTACAATCAAAAATATAAATTAACTGGATACATGATAACAGATAATTATTCACAAAAACACAACCATTGTTTGTGACTGAAAAAGGTGATCTATATTTTGTTAAGTCCAATACAAATTAATTTCATGCGCACGAGTCTCTACCAATAACCGAAGAACTCACTTTCTCCTAAATAATTTATACAAACCTTCTCTCTCTAGTGCAACCTATTTTTCCTGTATGTAGACAATGAAGGAATACCGGCCTAGAATACCAATCCAGAAGCGTCATCTAGTAATGTTTGTTCTCGAATCATAATCGACAATTCTGGGCAGGACAGAAATGCCTGGCTGCATTTCATATCACCTAATGCATCTGTTCACCAGCAGTACGTAGGTACACAGGAGTTAGTCGACTTGTCGGGGGGTTGCATCTTGGGGAAGGTCGGGAATCGAGCGTGGGGGAAGACCTCGATATAAGCCTAACATGTATAGACACTGGCTGCCTGTCCCCAGACACAATGATTTATTATTAAGTAACAACAGCTCCTGGGAACTTACCTTCGTGTATAAAGATGTACTGGGCGGAGAAGCCCTGGGCTTGGAGGGCGAGGTTGGTGTTGAGGAGTAGCTCCAGGCGAGGATGGAGGGTGAGGAGCGGGCTGGGCATCTTACCCCCACAGTAGCGACCCACGAACTCCTTCACCCCTTCCAGGTTGACACTAGATACGTCCAGGTAGTCTGCCAGGCACCTGTCACAGCCACACAGTCACTCACCTAACTGAAGTAACACCAACATCTACATGTGAATATACCTAGTCATCAATTACTAGCCTAGCCTATCAATACCTAGCTACCTATGTGCTTTAATATACCTACAATTTTCTCTCATCTTTTATTCTTTTTCTTGCTATGTAACTGTTATCATTTTTATAAATTTTGCAAGTATTTACCTACTTAAAATTTTCTTAGATTAAGGACCTGCCCGAAACGCTGCGCTTACTAGTGGCTTTACAAGAATGTAATTACTATGCTATGTATCCTCACAATCCCAATGTACCTTCTAGTATATAAATAAATAAATAAATAATCTATTTCTGTTCATGTGCTTCAATTTGCACAGGTACTGCTCTCACTCTCATGGTGGGGAAAGTGAGTGACTCAGTTATTTGAGTGTTAATGGTGAGTGAGAGCAAGACAGGAACAAGCCAACGATAACGTCACTACACAAAGTACCATGCCACTTCACTACTTCGCAAAGCACTAGAGTCACTTCAGTTCTCATTACCCTGTCACCTGATATAACTGTGAAGGCTTAGTTTATTGGCCCATCACCTCACTTTCCCTCTACTCTTTATTTTTTGGGCCATTCACCAGACACGATTTTGTATGCAACTGACTTCCCAATGTTATAAATTAGAGGTTTCCTCATGTCTTCTCATTCCTCACTTGATAATGAACCTTGTAGATTCGAAACGTTGTGTATATTATAATGAGTATTTAACCAAGATGTAAGAGCATTCGTTAAAGGGATAGAAGCCCTAAACAAGAAAATAATAAACACAGAATATGCAGTCATATTCAATATATATCCAAAATGGTAAGGTCCAAAATGGATCTCTCGAATGTCATTTATTCCCTTTTCCAAGGCTAAGGGTCATCATATATCCAGCCAGAGAAGAAAATAACTGAGTATTCAGAGAAAATCTTATCACATATGATTACATGCCATTTTACATACATAACCTGTGGCTCACTGGTCAGTGCAGTCGACATACAATTGGATGGTCCCGGGTTCAAGTAAGTTTATTGAGAAAAAGGAAGTACATCTCAAAAGGATAGAGTAACTTAGGCTATTTCTACTCTCGTCTATAAGGTCCCTTAAGGGGCTCACAAACCCATACAGCACACAATTATTAATAATATTTTACATTTCACATTCCAATGGTAATCACATGACATACTGTGAGATCTCTTATTGATTGTCCTGCCCCTGTCATGTCTGGTGTTGGCAAAGGCAGACTAAACAAGGAGGAGAAGCTACAACATTATCTGCTCATTATCTCAGATTTAGGTATTGTATGTACTACCTCTATCTTTAAATCAAACAGAGTGTTTGTACTGTAACTCTGCAACTATGTATGTACTTTTCCTAAATAAATTATTATTATTATTCATATTATTATTAGTAGTAGTATTAGTATTTATTTATTTATTTATTTATTTATGCATATACAAGAATGTACATAAGGAATGTGAGGATACAATTATGGTAATTACAGTCTTGTAAAGCCACTAGCACGCGCAGCGTTTCGGGCAGGTCCTTAATCTAAGAAAATTTTAAGGAGGTAAATACTTGCAAAATTTATAGACAAAAAAATGATAACAGATTACATGGAATGAAAAAAAAAAAGATGAGAGAAAATTATAGGTACAGTATATTAAAGCACATAGGTAGCTATGATTGATTGCAATGACAGCTTAAAATGGTAGTTGACAACAAATTGGTAGGCACAATACAGCAGAAACAATATAAGATTGATTGCAATGACAGCTTGAATGGTAGTTGACAAAAATTGGTAGTCACAATACAGCATATGGCTAGCACATAAAAGAAGACAGCAATGAACACAATGATAAGGTTGTTTGATATTACATAAAAATTAGGAGATTGGGTACCACTAGGTACAGAGCAAATTTAAAGCTCAGTGTAGGAAACTAAATAGATGAAGTTAGGTACTTTTTGGTTTTGCTTTTAAATAAGGCAAAAGTTTTACAGTTTTTCAATTCACTAGGGAGTGAGTTCCATAGACTAGGTCCCTTAATTTGCATAGAGTGTTTACACAGATTAAGTTTGACCCTGGGGATATCAAAGAGATATTTATTTCTGGTGTGGTGATAATGGGTCCTATTACATCTGTCCAGGGAGAGTTTCAGAGCATGGTTTGCATTTAAGAACAGGGTTTTGTAAATGTAGTTGACACAAGAGAATGTGTGGAGGGAGTTAATATTTAGCAAGTTTAGAGATTTAAACAAGGGAGCTGAGTGTTGTCTGAAAGCAGAGTTAGTTATTATTCTGATAGCAGATTTTTGCTGTGTGATGATGGGCTTAAGGTGGTTTGCAGTGGTAGACCCCCATGCACAGATACCATAATTAAGATATGGGTAGATTAGTGCATAATATAGTGAGAGGAGAGCAGAGTTAGGAACATAATATCTGATTTTGGAGAGTATACCAACTGTCTTAGAGACTTTCTTAGTTATGTGTTGAATGTGGGTGCTGAAGTTGAGTCTCTTGTCTAGGAATAGGCCAAGAAACTTGCCATCATTTTTATTACTGATTATTATATTATACTGATAGTATTATTATTATTATAACAAGAAGCCATGAGAATAATCCCATGATTATTCTCATGGCCCAAGAAATACCAATACCGAGATAATGATATGATTGAACTCATAGGGTTCGATTCTCGCGTACGTTTCAATTACTCCCAATGCCTCTGTTCACTTAGCAGTACTTAAGTACAGAGGAGCAAGGCAACTGTTGTGGGTTGGATCATGGGAGCCGTCGGTACTTGGCCTAAGAAAACCTCTATAAGCCTAATATGTTTCCTGTTCCGAAACAATATGTGGAGTTATTATAATTTAATGTTTTTGATCCATTATTCTTAACCAGCAGACATACAAATATATATGGTGAGATTTTGTATGGAATAACACAGAGCAATACATTGCCTGTTAAAAAATTGTGATTTAAAAAGATAATAATTTCTTTCACCATATAAACTTTTTTTGTAATGATATTAAATCTATGTCGGGGGACAGGCAACCAGTGTATATATACATGTTAGGCTTACATCGAGATCTACCCCCCGAAAATAGAACTACAGCACTGCTACACCTAATACATCCATAAATTCCCCCAATATAACACTACTACAAGACCACAGTAACCTTCTACAAGTAACTTCACCCTAACAGCACACGGACCAGCTCACACTCTAATTCCCACTCCACCTATCCGAGACGGGGGTCGGTGGAGTGGGAATATAGATATATTCACCTACATGTAGATACACACCCAGCCACATAGGGCTCCTCCAGCTGGAAATCATGGAAGGTGATCCGGACAGCGTGGAACATGTGAGCCTGGAAGATGTATGTGCAGCGAAGTCCAGGCGGGTACTGGCTGGGCCAACCGGGCGAAGAGAAGTTCCCAGACGTCGACACCCGCGAGTCGAAGTAGAACGTGCAGCGGGCTGGAACAGGCAGAGATGAGGGTAGCTGGAGATGTCTCGGAGGAGCTGCAGGAGCACTCTCAGGCTCATCACTGATGGGATGGTACTGAAGATGACGCAGAGGTACACAGGTAGTATGGAGGATGAACCAGTGGTACACAGGTAGTATGGAGGATGAACCAGTGGTACACAGGTAGTATGGAGGATGAACCAGTGGTACACAGGTAGTATGGAGGATGAACCAGTGATACACAGGTAGTATGGAGGATGAACCAGAGGTACACAGGTAGTATGGAGGATGAACCAGTGGTACACAGGTAGTATGGAGGAAGACACCAGTGGTACACAGGTAGTATGGAGGATGAACCAGTGGTACACAGGTAGTATGGAGGAAGACACCAGTGGTACACAGGTAGTATGGAGGATGAACCAGTGGTACACAGGTAGTATGGAGGATGAACCAGTGGTACACATGTAGTATGGAGGATGAACCAGAGGTACACAGGTAGTATGGAGGAAGACACCAGTGGTACATAGATGATGTCGATTATAATAGAGTCATCCAAGGGGACATTAATTGGGAGGTGCACTAAAAGTACTCCTTAAGTGATCAACCTCTCCTCTTACAAAGAACGTCGCATTTCGATCGCATGCGTTACATAAGGCCAAAAACTGTCGTACTACAAAATGGAAGCGGCTGGCGAAAGTGACGTACCACTGTCCCGTTTTCTGTTTTGGGTCCTCTGGTAAGTTAGGAGAGGACACTTTACACTGAAGGAAATGTGTATGTTTATCTCTCAGAATGTTCGGTAATACGTTTATTGCTTGTGATGTGTGTCTATGTATGTATTAACACGATGTACTGAACGGGGTGAGAATAGCTTGAGCTACCTCATCCCTTTGTGAGTATTTTACCTCAATAAACTTATTTCAATTTCAATTTCTTTACACTGATCGTTTTCTTGACGTTGGGGGGGGGGGAGCCTTAGGAGGACGGACTGAAGTGATAAGGTGGGAACCAACTGGTGGGTGTAAGACAGTGTGATAAGGCTCTAACTAGTTATACGGGAAGTAAAAATTAAGGCTGGTGCTGTGTACATCAATCAACATATATAATAATAATGTTTATTTGAATATAAATACATACGTTCGATACACTGGGAGATCCCGGGTTCGGTTCCCGGGCGGAGCAGAAATGGTTGGGCACGTTACCTTGCACCTGATGCCTTTCACCTAAATTTAGATTGGTACCCTGGAGTTAGGCAACTGCTGTGGGAGTTATTGCCTAGGGAAGGTCACTAGTTCAACCTTCGTCGGACCTCTGTGTAAGTCTAAAGTATATATACATACACAGTCTTCCTGTCCCCGAAAAACGAATTATTACAGTGGAGAATTCTACGAGTCTCTCTCAACGAGTCCCAACGAGAGGCTCAAACATAGTAGAAATAATCTTTACAGCGATACTTGCATGATAGTTACCAAAAGCATTTCATGAAGACCTTCTCATTACTGTTGAAGTAATCTTACTCTTTCCAGCCCATCTTTAGTCCCACCAGATCATCACCCCCTCCCACTGCATGACCCCAACCTTGTCTGGGTTGCTATCCTTGCTGTTGCACAGGGACGGCAGCTGCAAGATATATGAGGCAAGTTGGAGGGGAGAGATTGTTGGGGAGATTTGGTCTCTGGCTTTATCAAGGGATCCACTTGAGGTATATTAACCTGCGAGAGAATGCCTCGCGCGCTTCCTTTCATGGTGGGGGGGGGGGGTGAACCCTCAGTAGACCAGTGCTTGCTCTCCCCTGAAATATAATTTACCATATATTATGTTATACTTAATGATCTGTTTGGTTTAATGTCTGGTCAATGGCCCAGACCATTAATGGTTCCTTAAAGTCAGTGTGACAATCGGCTCGTATCACAGAAAACCCCAAGACAGCATTGTGTACATAACTCTAGTTCTAGGGAATTTATCTTCCTGAAAATCAGGACAGTCTGCGAGGAATTGAGCGACAGTAAGCTGCATAATGTAGTGCTGACAGTAAGACACAGGTTTGTGTGTTCCATTAAGTAGTCGTCAGTTAATCGCTTGTGACCGATACGTAACCTAGCCAGAGACGTCATCCACTTCGTGTTCCGGTGACACAAGGTCACCAGGACAGGTCACAATATATGTAATATATATAATAACAATATATAATGTATATGTAATATCTGTCTCTCCAATGGCTGCGGATCGTGTTATGGATGACGGAGCAGAAATATGAGCAAGGAATTATTTTCCGAGAGATGGGACTACTGAATGGATAGGTTTAAGGGGACAAATATTGATCAAAGTTTTAAGTTTAGTATTCCTACAGAGACAAACAGGTGAGCTTGGGTGTATATTCCCCCCAATGCTATGTACATACCGATTTGTTCTTTATATTACTTGTTTACACAAGAACAGGATTTAAGTCCGCCCTCTTTTATGTAGCAACATATATGGCTTAATGGTTTATGTAAGAACAGGATTTTATGTCTCATTTTCTTAAGTATATATATTTAGTTCTTGTTTATGTAATAACTGGCTCTTAGTTCATCAGTGTTCAAGGGAAGGCTGAACGCTTCTTACTCCCATGCATACTCTAAAGTAATTACATTCAATTTACTTCTATACCATATACATATTTACGGATAAAATATATACAATGGGCTTATTTGACATTATATAAGTGGAAATCATATATCTACATGTAAACATATTATAATTATATACAAGCTTCTTTTTTTTCCTTCGCATATAAGTGACTAGGAGAGGTACCAGGCGATGCTCTGGGTAGTCCCGTCTTCACCCCAGCCCCATCCCTCCCCTCTCTTTCCCCCTCTCCCTAAATCTCTCCCCCCCCCGCAGCTTTCCCTATCTCCCCTTATTCCCCCCCATTCGTCCCTCCCATCCTCCTTCCCTGATCCCCTCCCCTCATGAACCATTCAACAATAGTATGCGTCTCTCAGACTGTTTTTCTCCTCTTATCTTTTTTTCACCCTTTTGCTTTTCTTATGGTCGCTAAACCTCCACGTTAATCACACTACATATTCACATTTTACTCCATGAAAATGGCATAGGGGGTTTATAATTACTAATATTGCTTAAAACATTTAACTCAGACATGACCTCAGGTAGTGGGCTGGTCGTGGTGGTGGTGATAAATGAGTTGTACACAGCAGCCGTCTCCCTCTTTTGTATGTGCGTCTCTCCTCTCTTCTGGCTCCCACCTGTGGGTGAACAGAAAATCACACTACATATTCACATTTTACTCCATGAAAATGGCATAGGGGGTTTATAATTACTAATATTGCTTAAAACATTTAACTCAGACCTAACCCGACCAGCCTATATCCATTCCGTACTGTAGACCATTCCCGCTGCAAATTTGGGTGAGGCTAGCCCCAAGCTTCTGGCCTACAACCCTGGACACACAGACAAATTAACATTCTCTCTTATAGTGTAGATGTTCAGTTGTTTATGCTTTCATCAGTCTTTCAGACTAGCATTATTAAAGCCCTCAGCAAGAGGATGGAGTTTATCACATAAACTGTCTTATTCTTCTTAGCAATACATTATATACCAGACAGTTCCATTCATCCTCTATCATGTTATATTGCAAAGTAATGATACAAAGCAACGGTGCAATTACTGCCCCTCCTCCTCCTCCCTGCCATAACCCAGGCAGCAACGCATCCAGGGTTCAAAAACATGTTGATAACATGTCTTATCCTGCTCTCTTACCCCCCCCCCCCCGTCCTGTCACATCGTACCACAACCTGCAGGCAGGCACTTACCTGCAACCTGTAGGGGAAGTACCGTCAGGAGCACTACCACCACCCAGCCTGGAGCCAGCCGCCTGCTGCGTCTTCGGGTCATCACCTGTCAACACAATCACATGTCAACACACCCACATGTCAACACACCCACATGTCAACACACTCACATGTCAACACACCCACATGTCAACACACCCACATGTCAACACACCCACATGTCAACACACTCACATGTCAACACACACACATGTCAACACACCCACATGTCAACACACCCACATGTCAACACACCCACATGTCAACACACTCGTCTTCACAAAAGAATTAATAGTCTCCCCGTGGACGAATTACAGACATAAACTTCAAAACCATTCCTTTCTTAGTCCAGTACATACTACACAGTTGGCAAGGACAGGTCACGTGTGTGACAAAGTTGCAAAGAAGTGACAAAGATGTATGAGATTTGGTGAGCGTGCAGTAGTGTGTAAAGGGAACGGTTAAGAGGGCTACTGATAAAAATGGGGGGGGTCACCTTTAATAGGGGGGGGGGAAGAAGTGACTAACATACAGCACCCCCCAATAGGAGGAAATCGTACTGGGTTTTTCATGATGTTACTGTTGGAACTTTAAGTAAAAATGATATCTTTAATCTAACAGGACGATAAGTAAAATATCTTTAATCTAACAGGACGATAAGTAAAATATCTTTAATCTAACAGGACGATAAGTAAAATATCTTTAATCTAACAGGACGATAAGTAAAATATCTTTATATCATAACTTTATCTTCATCATAACTTTATATTTGTGATATCTTTAATCTAACAGGATGATATCATTAAATAACAAATTGATATCTCTAATTTGTAGAAGAGTAATTGGTCTAACACACACACACTTTTACCTTTCTAATAAGTCTTTCTCTACTGTCAATACCGGAAAGTCCCCGTTGCAAGTGCACCAGGATGAAACAATAACACGTCAATTAAACAAATAAAAATGCTTTTGGCTATTAAAAAAATCCAACTCTTTAGCAGATTAATCAACATTGTAGTCCTCGACATTTTCTCACCTAGGCACGGCATTATCAAACTACTTTTGCGTGGGGTTTTTCTATTATAATTACGCCGGCGAGCTGAAAGCGTAATGCAAGTTCCAATGGGCCCATTCAACAGCACTGGCTTCCGCGAGCCGAATTGCGTCATTCCCGGTGTAGCTAAACAGCCGCTGACGGTAAGGGCTCCCTCGCGCACATGTACCGCTGCTGTTTCTAAACTGTCATTGCTACCATTATCAGATTCTACATAACAGTTCAGGCCCTGGAACAATCTGAAAACAACTAAAAAACAAACTCGTAAGGGAGACAACAGCAAAATATGTACGGGGGGCGGGAAATGAGCCATAACAAAGTCTCTCATATGACCCTTTACCGTGAGCTGGCGCCACCATCACCCTCCCACCATGGGGCCCAAGTACCCATTCATATAATTAACACGCGCCCTTGTACTGGGTTACACTGAAGCTGTAACACCTTCATATTATGTCTGCTTCAAGAACTGTCATGAATATAATATACAGTGTCCCATTGTTAAGTAATAATTATTTTTGTTTGGAACAAATGTAAAACTTTTATGAGTATTATTAGATTTCCCTTTAAGTGATAAATAAATTACATGAATGTCTAAAGGATAGAGAGAGAGAAAGTGGAATTTACCAGCCTGTCTTCTGACCCATCTGTCCCTTGGGAAAAGCTAGGGGGGTTATCTTGAGATGATTGATTTGATTGAAAATTCATTGATTGAAAAGCTATGGGGGGTCTAAATTAATATCTGCTCCCTCTGCTTACTGACACAGGTAAAATAAGAACTTAACCCAAGGGTACCTTAAGCTTCCTTTGAAGCTTACTAAATAAATAAAGTGATAGCAGTTAAAACCAGAGGTAATTAACAACAGTGATAACTAGGTACTTTATGTGACACAAGTATAAGTAACCAGATGGGTTAACCAGCGATGCCCGGGTCTATTCGGAGCCCAGGTCTTCCACACATACCCTCCTAATCTTCCCTACACATACCTATCCCACCCCCTTCCTTCCCATCTCTGTAACAAGCCTCAATAATCTCTGTCTTTATCTCTGTAAACATCTTTACACCATCTTAATTCATTCCTTCACACACACACATCCTCCTCACATCCCTCAACACACCCTCCCATATCCTCTCACATTTCCTCAAACATACATTCCCCATCTCCCAGCACACATGCCATTCCCCATATCCCAGCACACATGCCATTCCCAATCTCCCAGCACCCATGCCATTCCCAATCTCCCAGCACCCATGCCATTCCCAATCTCCCAGCACACATGCCATTCCCAATCTCCCAGCACACATGCCATTCCCAATCTCCCAGCACCCATGCCCTTCCCAATCTCTTCCCTCCCTGCCCACACACACGCCCTTTCCCCCCATCAATATAACCAAAAGGTTATGCCCAGAATACAATTCTGTCATCAGAACATATACTTTGAAAATTGATATCTTAATTCACTATTATTTCAACTACTGCGCAAGTCTATGGACTCCGCACTGAACATTTCACATCCACAGACTTTGTTCCATAGACCGGGTTATCCCAATGTTCCCCTCAAAGGGAAATAACCCAGTGAAGTATCTCCCTGGAAATACCCTACTGCAAGTACGCCTCCGGAAATATGTAGCTGGAAATACCCCCACTAAAATACCTCGCTGGAAATTGCTGGAAAAGTCCCATTGGAAATATTCAACTGGAAATGCCCCACTGAAAATATCCTGCTGGAAATACCCCATTGGAAATACTCCGCTGGAAATATACCACTGAAAATACCCTGTAGGAATATATTAAACATAAATAAGAACCTCTAATGCTGCGATATTAGGCGCCGGCTTAGGATTTATTGCGTAAAATGAGGCTTGGCAGAAATATTTGCGTAAATTGCGCTCCTCTGGAATATCCCCTCAGTAAAAATGCCTTGTAAATATTTTGGGAAAATATTAGAGTGCGGGGAAGCCTGTGGAGCTGGGAACGGCCCCCACCATGTAGGAATATTCTAATATTAATTCTTTCAGACCAAACAAAGGTCTGAGGTAAATATCTGGTGGCGGTAGACTCTCCTTCTCCGTCATTCTGTGCCCCCTTTTCCATTATCTCTCTTCCACTCCCTCTTTATTTCCTGTTCTCCCTCTTTTAATCCATCTTTCCCGCTGTCTCTCTCACTCTCTCCCTCCCCCCTCATCGACTTCTTACTTCCTCCTTCCCTCTTCTTGTGCCATTTCCCCCCTCTTCTGCCTCCACGTAAGGAGGGTCACTAAGGTGGTATTAATAGTCATAAAGCGGGATAGAACTCTCGCTGCAAACGGCCAACCTTGACATCGATCGTGGGAGAAGTTCCTGAAAGCAACAATCGTAGGAGCCATTATAAATCATAAAACTACTTGTCTCACTAATTTCCTCTCCTTTTATTCAAGTTGACACATTTACAACTAAGTCGACTCTCATACCAGGAAGGGTTGAGGGCCACAGGGCCAAGAACACTGTATACCAGACATGACAAGGCGGATCTCATCGAAACATTTAATATACTGAACAGTTTGGAGGATGTTGATCCAGACCACTGATCCAGGATAAGAGAGCAACGCTATAATATATATATATATATATATATATATATATATATATATATATATATATATATATATATATATATATATATATATATATGTCGTACCTAGTAGCCAGAACGCACTTCTCAGCCTACTATGCAAGGCCCGATTTGCCTAATAAGCCAAGTTTTCATGAATTATTTGTTTTTCGACTACCTAACCTACCTAACCTAACCTAACCTAACTTTTTCGGCTACCTAACCAAACCTAACCTATAAAGATAGGTTAGGTTAGGTTAGGTAGGGTTGGTTAGGTTCAGTCATATATCTACGTTAATTTTAACTCCAATAAAAAAAAATTGACCTCATACATAACGAAATGGGTAGCTTTATCATTTCATAAGAAAAAAACTAGAAAAAATATATTAATTCAGGAAAACTTGGCTTATAAGGCAAATCGGGCCTTGAATAGTAGGCCAAAAAGTGAGTTCTGGCTACTAGGTACGACATATATATATATATATATATATATATATATATATATATATATATATATATATATATATATATATATATATATATATATATATATATATATATGATTATTATGACCACAATGATGCGCATGACAATGATGATAATGAGAACGACGTAATTAGTTACATAAGAAAATGAAGAAAGGAGGAAAGAGAAGGAGAGAGAACCGAGTGAAGCCTTCCAAGACAACATCAAAACAACTACACAAAACAAGTTAACGAGAAACAGTTTTATGCTATAAGGTTCTGCACAATCCTCCCAAGTCGTCCTCGCTGTTCTACAACGACAACTGACGTCCCACAACACCCGCGTGTCCTACGACAACTGACGTCCCACAACACCCGCGTGTCCTACGACAACTGACGTCCCACAACACCCGCGTGTCCTACGACAACTGACGTCCCACAACACCCGCGTGTCCTACGACAACTGACGTCCCACAACACCCGCGTGTCCTACGACAACTGACGTCCCACAACACCCGCGTGTCCTACGACAACTGACGTCCCACAACACCCGCGTGTCCTACGACAACTGACGTCCCACAACATCTGAGCGTCCTACGACTACTGACGTCCCACAACACCCGCGTGTCCTACAACTACTGACGTCCCACAACACCCGCGTGTCCTACGACAACTGACGTCCCACAACACCCGCGTGTCCTACGACAACTGACGTCCCACAACATCTGAGCGTCCTACGACTACTGACGTCCCACAACACCCGCGTGTCCTACGACAACTGACGTCCCACAACACCCGCGTGTCCTACGACTACTGACGTCCCACAACACCCGCGTGTCCTACGACAACTGACGTCCCACAACATCTGAGCGTCCTACGACTACTGACGTCCCACAACACCCGCGTGTCCTACGACTACTGACGTCCCACAACACCCGCGTGTCCTACGACAACTGACGT